GTCTGCTATGGCCCAGCTGAAGACCATGTTTGAGCATCTGGGCGACCGTACGATTCAATTGCAGAACAACGCTGTGATGCCCGAGCTATCAACCGCTGCAATTGATCGAGAGCTCGTCCGCATCAGCATGAAGGACTTCTTCCTTAAGGTTTTCGACCAGGATGAGCAGGATCCAGTGACAGTGATAGAAAGCCTGGAGCCAATCTTGGAATTTGAAAACACAAGGGAATCAAACATGTCGGTTGAGTCAGCTGGCTCTGATGAAGACGCACCTGACGCACATAGCTCGCCCACTGGAAGTACCGAAGGCTCATCCACAGATAAACAGCTTGGCCATGCGTCCCCAATTCTGGAAATGCGCAAGTTTCTCGATTCTGCTAACGTAAATGTACGACTGTCCCTCTGGAACAGGTTACGTGTAGCCTATGAAGCCATCGATTACCCTTCCAAAGTTATATCATGCTTCTTACGAAGTATCGAAGCGCTTGTGGATGATCTCGGATCATCGGCTTTTCAGGAGTTGCCAACGCTTGATCGTCAACACAAGTTGTCGACCCGATACCGAGTCATTGATGACATGGTTGTCAAAATCCTTCAGATAATACGCGACGATGGGACGCCGTTCGACTGTATTCACTACGAGCATGTGCAATCTTCCATGTCAGCAATTGCTAAACTGTTGCACATTATGTCGGCTGCAGACATGCTCAGAGACTACATTCGCATCAACCATATTCCTACGCCTCGAGTCGAATCCCATCCGAGCCAGGCATTTGTCAATATGATGGCACGACTTGGCGACATCCATCTACGGCTCTGGATATTACAGTACCATTTGCTCAAGGATGGCTTATCCCAAGACCACGAAAGCTTCCCTACTCCTTCAGAGGATCTATTCGAATACATTCGTCATGTGCACCATGCTACTGGTGTGCGTGGTTTTTGCCATCTGTCAAACCGTCAGTTTTTGAGGCTTGCGAAGGACGAGTTGCTTCGGCTTGACGATGTCATCGATGGTCACAGTTATGCAACTGAGCTTTGCCAGGTTCTTCACGATCTTTACGGTCTGAAGCTATTCATTGAACCTTTGGAGTGCCAGGATTTCCAGACTACACCGGATGCCCTCGACAAAAAGACTGCCTTCAGCATCTTGTCGTTCGCCATGTCACAAGTTGCAAAGGTTGACCTGAAAGATTTGCCTAAGACAGAACTCAAAGCAACTATTGAAAAGATACATGCCGCGCTAGGTAGGCCCAAGCAGAACGATGATATCACTTTCAACCGCAAGGTAGTTTCATCGTACTTCAAGTCACCTGTCAACCCTGTCGAGTTGTTCGGATGCTTGAAAGGCATTGGCTCGCTTGCAACCAAGCATGTCCCTGCCGAAGATGCCGTGGCTGCCTCTAAAGGTTGGTTTTACATGATGGGCAACATCGCGCTCAGCAAGTTCAAGTCGCAGAAGCGCATGACCCAGGGACCTACGGAGGACTTAAATTATGCTCAAGCATTCTTTTTGCAGGATCTAGAGCATTCCATTGAGCGTTGGGAGACGTGGTATCGCCTTGCGCAAGCCAATGACACCCAGCTTGAGGAGGCGGTCTCATGGAACGCGGATAAAATGAACAGCAACAGCGTTGATGTTGTCAACTTCCAACGGGCTGCAATCAACTGCTACATTATGGCTGTGGCCTGTGCTGTGCGCGACCCCAATGTAGGACCAAATACTCAGGCCAAAATTGCACAGATGTACACAGAGTTTGGCAACCGCATATATGCATCTTCCAGGGAGCCATTTAGAATGGAGGCGTTCCAGATTCGAGAGACTGAGAAGCGATTCTGCAATCTCCAGACGAATGCAACTCTATACAAGGAGGTCGCATTTGCTCCATTGCAGACTTACACGGCCTGGAAATTTGCAAGCACGCTTTACAAACGAGCAATTAAAGGCAACCCGAACAAATGGTGGAATCACTACATGCTTGGAAAGTGCGGATGGAAGATGTGGTCCACCAACGACAGCGCCATGCGGTATGCCATGTCCATTGGCGCGGCCGCTGCTCCACAACATGGCCCAAGTTGGGAGTCTGTCATTGAGGCCTTCACTAGTGCGATCGAGACACTACCCGGAAAGAAAGGGCGTAGCGGTGAGCCAGTTCTTGAGCCTCACTACAAACTAGTATCCGTCACCCATAAACTTTTCCAGCGTGGTGCCATCGACTATGAAAAGGGAGTGGATATTCTCTCAAATACATCATATGCCCAGAACATCAAGGCTCCAGAAAGCGAAAATGACTGGCAGAGATACATTCTTGCTATCTTGAAGTCCTTGCGTGCAGCAGACAAGTCAAGCTGGCACCATCGTGTCATATCACGAGTTGCGCACACAATCTACGATAACGAGAAGAACCAGTCTGTGGCTCAGGATGCTAAGCTTGAACTTATGCAGCAGATGTTTACTAAAACCATGGCTGTTCAGGTCTGGAAACCCGAGAACGAGCGACCTGGCAGGCACTTTGTATACACCACTCGCTACACCAAGTTTTTCATCGAACTTCTGGACTTGACTGAGGACAAGACCAACTTCGAAGCGCTCGCGAAGCGTGTAAGGCGGAAACAGACTGACTTTTTCGAACATCAGAAGCTGTGGCAAGATCTATGCACACGTTACCTCAAGTTGCTGCGAAGAATCGGCAATATACCTGAAGGCCAGGAAGATTCGGCTTTTAAATCCGTCAATCACGATGAATTCAACACGCTTGCTCTTCGTTTGGAGGCGTGGTGTCAAAACTCGGCTACGCAACACCCTGTACTGGATGTTCTCCGCGACGCAATCGAACTCAAACGCCTCAACAACGGCATGATGAAGCCTCTTCTTATTGACGATCTCATTGGAGATACTTATGCGATGTTGTATACATCGATTGGTCCCACTTTGTCGCCCCTCCCATCGGAGCAAGAACAACAGCAGCAACAACAACAACAGCAGCAGCAGCAACAGCAACAGCAACAACAAGCACAGCAACAAGCTATGCTTGCTCAGCCTCGGTCAGCACCTTTTGGGGGTTCCGTAACATCCACAGGCGCTGTACCCATCTCATCGTTGATGCAAGTTCAGATTGATGGCTCAACAGAAGGAAGCACCGGGTCACCTTTCAGCATGTATCATTCCGGCCAAATGCCCACTCAGATGCCTCAAATGGTGGCACAACCTGAACAAACAGCAAAGCCCAGAGTCAAGGCAGTCGGTCGTAGGGAAATCGCAAGAAGGGCTGAAGCATGCGTCCAGAAGACTGCTGCTGCCTCCGCTCAATCTACCTCGATTCCAATTCGATCGCCCCCGCCTGCCAACGAGGCTCTTTCTGCCGCCACCGATCAAGCAGCAGCATCACCAGACAAGACCGCGGAACCCACTGCTGAACCGAACACATCTACCGAAAACCTTCAGCCCTCCTTCGACCAAAGCGAAACCGCTACCGCCGCTCCGAGCGTAAACAACGACGAACCTGTCCCTAGCGCCCCCGCCTCCGTCCACGACGACGCTGATGACGAAAGCGAGCTTAGCGAACTCGACGAAGACGAAGTCGAGGAAATCCATCAAGAAGTTCAGAACGATACTTTACGTCGTTCCGCCTCCATTGCTGCCCTAAATAAGCCTCTTTTCCCCCACTTGGCTGCTGCAGCAGCAAAGATGGCTCCTGTGGATAAGCGCATCGAGTCTGAACGCGGCGATGATGATCCGGATGATGATGAGACGATGGAGAGTGACACTATTCATGTTACTGCTCCGAGGCCAGCGAGGGCGAGGGACGAGGATCGTATGGATGTGGATTAGAGGGTAGAGAGAGTGTGTTTTTTTGGTAGTCTGGATTATGCCCATGGGGGTTTGCGGGCTTCTCTCTCTTTTTGAAGATGGTTGTTTTCTTATTACTAGTGTATCACTGTACTATTGCCCATCGGATAGTAGTGCACGTCCGTACCTGTTATTCTTTCTTTCGGACTGTGGGCGTACGAAGGGGGACGCATTAGTATCACTTGGATTTCTTTTTCTGTTTTCTACCCTGTGTTCTAGATACCCGGTTTTATAGGGCTCGTATGCATATGCAATACGTAAACGGATTTTTTGAAGATTTCGCTGTGCTGATGTGACCTTGTGTGGAGTTGGCCTGGTTTATTAGTGAAACTGATCATTTCCCGTGAACGAGAATTAGATAATAATTACTTGATTCAAGACGGCTAAATGTCTTTAAAAGAACTATTCTAGGAAAAGATGATGTGGTTTTACGGAGAGTGTCATATCTTTTGATAGTTGTCTCAATTGAATATGAATTTGGATAACGATCTACTCTTGGTTCAAAAACTAACAAAATGAAAAACACTATGAAGGGAAGACTAGCAAAAGGACGGATTAGCTTACTAAAAGAATAATTACATATCACAGTCGGTCAAATAGTAGGTATTCCTCTAGTTGGCTTAAATTGAAAAGTAAGTAATGATATTTGCGTACCTACCCCGCCATGCGCCAACCATGAGCAAAAGTAAGAAGCTGTACTGTCTCCATACCTAAAAAAAGTGCAAAAAAGATGTGTCGCAAACTACTTGGCGGTACTGGGAACTGTAGACACGTTAGAAATGTCTCAGGACCACCAATTTGTGAGGTTGAACGTACTCGAACCCAGGCTGGCGCGGATCTGGATCGGGACAACTGAGTGTCCGCCAGCCACAACGCGACGTCATACCACTAGACCATACCACCGTGGTATTTCTTTGATGATGAAAGTCGCATTTGGTTAATACTCATAGTTGGGGGTATTACATGAAAAGCCGTCTTCAAGCTGTAAGACATTCCTCATACCGGAATCGCTGAGAGGATAACGGAATTTTGAGCGTGTGTGCGGGGTCGTGGGGTCTGTGCCAATCGTCAGAGGTGGGGCAGTGTTTTTGCTGGTGTTCGGTATATTCTTCCTTTACCCAATCGGTCGACACACAGCACGTAACTCAACATGCCCGCAGGTACGTCTAGGATCCTTTGGCATCTATAGTGCTTTCGTGAATACCCTTCTCAACATCGGTCCCGTGGACGTTGTTGCGAAGGCTGGCAAGCGCACATGTTTGCTCAATTTTTTTCTGCCTAGATAAAATATATTTCAACCCATCCTGCACTTGCCCACGCAACTTGCAAATCACTTGACCATGCTAATACCTGGTAACTAGATTTTTCATCACCCCGACAATCGCGAGGCAAACAGCACAAATCATACCGCGTTGCAGACGAGTATTCGTTCCTCGACGAAGAAGATGGATCTGCAGCATCTGGTAACCAATCGCCAGCCTTCCAGGATGATGATGAAGATGAAGACGACTTCATGCCGGACGCCCAGGAAGAGGTTGAAGATGACTTTGAGGATGAAGAGGAGGAGAATGATGAAGAAGACGACGCAGAAGAAGACGAGGAAGACTCAGACGATAGCCTCGTAACGCCCAAACGCGGTGCTCGCGGGCCAAAAGCTACTCTCGTCAAGCCGCCCACCACCCCGCTTGTCCAACGCAACAAGCCATCTACAGAGCACGTACCCTCGCCTATTACGTTTTCCAAAGGCAGCGGTATCAAAGTGCGCAATGTAGATGCTGAGAACAAGCTGCGGACACGCGGCGTACCCGATTTCGACAAGATTGGAGGTCATGAGCCGCGATTGAAAAACTTGTTCGGGCCGGATGGCCAGCATCTTCGACCCGTGTTGGCGTCTCGTGACTACTGGAGCTCTCAGGAGACGTTTCCGATCAAGAAGCCTGGGCGTGTTGACTCTGGTCAGACTGAGTTGGGGGGCTTAAGACGAAGCTTCTTTGAAAAGGAAGGTACTAGGGAGAAAGAGAGTGAGGTCCTGAAGCAGTGGTATAGGCACACAGGGAAGGCCGTTTTCGAAGCTGTACAGGCTACCAAGGAGTTCTCCGAGGAGGAGGCTAAGGAGTACATGGGGAATGATGGACCAGAGAGTCTGAATGTGCTCACTGGGCCTGTCAATAGCCCCCAAGTTACCGCTCTTGGGAAAGGCAATTATATGCATGTTGGGCAGTCCTTTCCAGACAAGGATAGTAGAAGAGGCTGGCTGTTCAATTTTGGATCCAGGATACAAGACGCTCAATGGGCTACCAAGGAGGACAGTCGAACGCAGTATATTGCTGTCGCGGTTGAGCAGCACCCCTTGGATGGAACCCGGCCCAAGCCTATGGAAATACCAAAAGCGCCTGCTTTCAGTGCTACGGAGCCACTTCCAGCCTCCATCCAGATCTGGGCGTTTGAAACTACTGAAGACGGAGAACTGGATAATTCAAAAGAGCCTAGACTTGAACTTGTCATTTGCGCCAACTGGGGTGCTCCTAAACAGCTACGATGGTGTCCAGTCGCTGCTACACATACAAAAGCAGACTCTAGTACTGAGACAGAAACTCACATTGGCATGCTTGCGGTCATCTGGTCAGACGGACGAGTTCGTATACTAAACCTATGCACCCCGAAGCGTCAAGCCGGACAAGTCCAAACCACCTATCTCCACTTCTCCTGCACAGCCTTCGAAGTCTCAATCCCCCAAACCGTCCCCTCCTGTCTCCAATGGCTCTCAGGCACCACCCTCGCCGTCGCCACAGCCGCTGGCACCGTAGCCATCTGGACCCTAACCCGCCCGGGCACCCTCTCCCAAACCCCTCAACCACACAATCCGCGCCCTTGGTTCTACCACCAACTAGCCGACACTTTCATCCTGACCATCTCCTCCGCTTGGCCCTCAAACCCGCACTACCTCTCCATCAGCACCGCCGACGGCTTTGCCCGCCTCTTCGACCTACGCAGCCCCACCGCCGACACCACGGCCTCCATCCGCGGGCGCACCCTGTGCCTCACACAAGCCTGGCACGAGCACACTCAATCCTTCGTCATGCCCGACGAACACTACATCCTACGGCACACGCCCGTCCGCCGCTACTATCATAACCTGTACAGCATGCGACTGGACAATAGCATCACGCGCGTGGCTACGAGCCCCGTGCACCCGGGCGTGCTGGTCGGTGGTACCGATGGCGACGTGCAGACGAGTAACCCCGTGATGCGCATTGCGAATTACAAGGTTGTGCCGTGGCAGCAGAAATGGTTTGTGCATGAGTGGAGGAGTGAAGTCACAAAATTAACCGTCAAACCTGTCACTACTATTAACGCCCCCGGAGAAGAAATATCTGAGGAAAAAGGAGAAAAAGATAATGCTAGTGTAGCGAATGTGCCAGACGACATCCTCCGCCAACCCCTCGTACGCATCTCAGAGGGCTACAAGGCGGTGCAGCAGGGTATCGCGAGTAGTGCGGTGTCGAAGCGGAAGGGCAACCCGGAGATTGGGCGATCGATTAGTATTTTTGAGGAAAAGTCCGCAGTTACGGCTTTGGCGTGGAATCCGAATTTGAAATATGGGACGTGGGCGGTTGCGGGGATGGGGTCGGGATTGTTGAGGGTGGAGGATGTGGGGATTGTGGAGAAGAAGAAGTAGTAGTAAGGAAATAGAATTGGGTGCTGATGGAAGAGAAGAACGGGGGAAAAAGAAGACGCGTTGGGGGGTTTGGGGGGTTATCTGGTTTCTTTTTAGATGAAATGATATTCGACGTGAAATTACATATTCTCTCTACAAGTCAAAAATGAATATACATATATATATAAGCGATTGGATAACATATGATACCCTCAATCCCGAAGGCGAAAAAGACTCATCGAATTGGTTCATACTCCACAATCTCACCTCACCGACCTCATCTTGCACAAAAGCGGTGGTTTCTCCCACAAAATAAACGTCGGCTGATCAATCCAGTTCTTGCTCTCATCACAAAGCTCGATATCAAAGTGATAGTAAGTTTTCGCAGCAAGGAGTCGGATCTCATGGTATGCCATACTACAGCCACACACACACACACATGTTAGCACAGTCTGCTTTTATCAATTTTTTTTGCATATAGCCAAGGTGAAAAAAAAGGACTTACTTCTTCCCAACGCAGTCCCTCGATCCGATGGAAAAGGGCTGAAGACACGCCTTCTCATCGCTGTCAAACTCGGGGTCACCCAGCCACCGTTGGGGCAGAAATTCCGTCGGGCGCTTAAAGTTGCGCTCACTCATGTACATGGCATGCTGTGGAATGCCGACAGTAATATCAGGCGGCACAAAGTTGCCACAGATAGTAGTTCCGTCAGCCGGTGTGCGACGAGGCAAAGTGAGAGGAACTGGCGGGTAAATCCGAAAAGCTTCTTTGACGCAAGCAGCGAAGTAAGGTAAAGCGGCGAGGCGTTCCATGGTCATATCGTCTGTGCTCTCGAATTCGTTGCGTATCTCTTGAGACAGTTTTGCCATGCATTCTGGGTTGCAGAGGAGCAGGTATGTCAGGCCTGATACGAGGGTTGCTGTAGTTTCTGTGCCTGCAATCATGAAGACGGATGCGTTTGAGTCCATTTCTGGTCGACTTAGACCCTTGCCTTCCTTCTGACTCAGTACCAAGTCCCAGAGATCAACACCTTGGCTATCGCGACCTTTTTCGAGGCGTTTCGTGACACGTGTGGTGGAGTGGTTGTAATGGTTTAGGCGTTTCTTGGAGAGGGAGGCTGGTGCGATCATGACGAAGAATTTCCGTAGCAATGGGTAGAACCGCGTTAGGGCCACGATACTGGAGACCTTGAGAGCCCCAAAGATGTTACTGACCCATGGATCGTATTCGGCGTTGTCGAGCATGTGGAGGGGCTCGCCAAACGTCAAGTCGCCCATAACATCGAAGGTGGTAAAGTTGAAGAGCCGGACGAGATCGAATTTTGTTTCTGGGTTTTCTTGTATGCCTTTTTTCACTACGCTTACGAATTGGTTGATGTACTTGAGGAAGAGGGGTTCTTGCTGTTTGAGAGCGCGATCCGAGAAGGCTGGACTAAAGATCTTTCTTTGGCGAGTATGAACATCATCTGGTGAATTAATGAGATTGGGTGCCCCATTGAGACTCTCCGCATATCTTATCGGGTCTTTGTAAGGCAACGAGCCTGCTGTTCCTTTTGTACCATGGCCGTGAATCTGGAAAGCCGTCAGTCAACACCGCATAGAAAGTGAACCGAGCATTTACTTACATCTTTCCACGCACCCGCATCAATGAAACTTAGTTCATTATGAGCAATTCGGACTATTGGTCCATATTTACGGTGCAGATCTTGATAAAGCTTGTCGCGAGAGCCCTTTGCAACGGAAATGTGGACTGGAATACGTGTCGCGGCCAACAGTTTGGGGCCCGGGTATTTACTGAGGGGGTGGAAATAGATTCGATACACGCCTACTGCAACAAAGCGAAAGATAACCTGTCATGGGTCAGCGTGGTAGCCCTATAACAACTTTGAGCAAGTCGCTATAGTTGAGGAGGTGCTAACCAAAGCTATCAAAGCGCCAAAGAGGCTCAGGAAAGAAACCATCTCGAAGGAGCTTGGTGAGGTTGGCAAAGGGGTCGTATTGCGGCAAAGGGAGAGAGTAGGCAGCAGCCTGCTGCATAGGACGCGGGCCCTGTAGCTTGGAGCAATCGTTCTTTATATTGGTTACCAATGGTAGATATAAGGTTCCGTTAGCCGATCTGTCAACAACATGGAGTGGCGCGGTTCTGGTCCGCGGCCAATCAATAGAATGTGTTTCATGGCGGCCTCAGGGACATGGGCAGTGCCAATTGCGCGGCCAGTCAGTGCAGAGTATTGGATATCACACCAATCAGACAAATGCCCAGAAGTGAGGTCCGAGTGTCTCGGAGGAGGAAGCTGAGCAAGTCTCCGTGTTGTACTCCATGCTAGCAGTAGCGATAATGAGCATGCTTGTCCTACATTAATTCAATTCATGGGGTTGGATAACGAGATAGTGCACAAGGTGATGTCAGCCTGTTAACCACACACCCAGCCCTTACAAAGAGGCCCGTGCACCCATCAGATCGTGACTTCGCGTTAGCGACGTTCCCTGACTTGTCTTGAACGCTCCCAATTCCAACCCACCCAAAAAAATAATAAAAAAAAGAAACGAAAAACAATGGCAGCGATACCAACACAAAGAGGTATATCAGCCTTGTTCAAGGTCTCCTCTTCGAGAACAACACCATTGGCATACAGGACACAAACCCGCACATTATCTTCCTCGCGCATCAACGCCGCATACACTGCCACCCCACCACGAGCAGCAACAACAAGCACAACCTCCTCCTCCACCACTGCCGCAAAACCCGCTTCCTCGGCAACAACAGCAACCCCCCAGCGAACCGTAACACCGCAATTCCCCGCAAAAGAACCCCCGGTCCCCACGACCCGCAACGCCACTGCAGATTCTGCCGCCGCGGCCGCTCAATCGAAGCGCTCGCTCACCGAGGGCCTCTCCGATGCGCCCCCGGAGCTCGAAGGCGTACCCGCTATAGACTGGACGCGCTCGTACCACGGCCTCGGCAGCGTGTCGTTTACGCCGGAGCAATCTGAAGCCCTGCTCGCACCTGTCACGCAGGATGATGTGGAGGTCAAGCCAGACGGCATTTTGTACCTTCCCGAGATCAAGTACAGACGTATTTTGAACAAGGCGTTTGGGCCTGGTGGATGGGGTCTCGCGCCGAGAGGCGAGAGCATAGTGACTTCGAAGTTGGTTACGAGGGAGTACGGTTTAGTGGTGCAAGGACGGTATGTGTGCACATATATATTTATTTTCCCCCTTCCCAACGCAAAAGAACAGTCATGCTGACGATTTAAATTTTCAACAGCCTTGTATCCATTGCCCGTGGCGAACAACAATATTTTGATCCTGATGGCATACCCACTGCGACCGAGGGCTGCAAGTCCAACGCCCTGATGCGATGCTGCAAGGACCTGGGTATCGCTTCTGAACTCTGGGACCCACGCTTTATTCGGGAGTTTACGAGTAAGATGACTAAGGAGGTGTGGGTTGAGCACACGACCACTAAGAAGAAGCGCAAGATTGTGCTGAGGAAAGATGACAGCCCCAAGTATCCGTTCAAGGAGGTCAAGTTATAGAGAGTCATGAATCACGCATTTTATGGGGCAGGGCGTTGAGCGTTTTCTGCCCTTAGAGATATATGCATGTTGTACCTCAGTTTGTAGCAATACCACTCATGTCTATGTATCAAGGTTTGGCTAGGGGAAGTAGATAACACGGCTTCTTTGATACAGTCGTGAGGTTTTTCAATTGTAATACCATCATCTAACTTTTTTGCCATCAAAACGCCAGAAATCATGTGTATTTATTCCGCAAATCTTGATCGTCTTAGGGGCCACTGCTAGCGATCTCCCAAATCAAACCCAGATCCCCTTGATCTATTTCTCAGCTCGCCGGGGTCTCGTCCGTATGCCAGAGGGTCGTCCTGAGATGCTTCCTGACGCTGCCAGTTCCATGGCATCCATCCACTGCTTGTCCTCCGGCCCAGGGCAGGTGGTGTGATGGGGTATGGTGGGCGGTCTGATCCAGAGCTCAGCTCGTCACGCTCGATTCTGTCAAACTCTGCTTCGCTCCTGTTGCGGGACAGACTACCGCTGCTCCTGCTGGATTCATAGTGTGTATTTCCGCCCTTCTGTTGGGTGCGAATATTTTCTTGCTCGCGGTCAAACGCCTGTAGGAGGCTTTCGAGGCGCTGGCGTTGCGATGCTACGTAGTTGAGTCGGTCTTCGTTGTTGCGGATCGAGTCTGGCACGAGCTTTGCTGCACCGCGGCTCAGGTCGGAGGCCTGGGCATCCCTTGTTTCGGGAGTGCCAGCGGTATACAGTGCGCTCGCTCCGCTGAGTGCCTGGTTCACGAGACCATATAGGTCATTACTGCCCCTTGCCGCTGGCATCTGAAATCTGCTCATGAGGCTCTGTGCATATGTCTGTCCCGCTGGCGGGGGCGCTTCTGGCTTGCGAGGTGCGAAGCCTAGCAGATTGACCCTGACCCACTCGATGCCCATCTCGATATAGGCCATACCTGCCGATTTTGCACGGTCATGGCTCTGGGTTATGAAGTCATCAATCTCCTTTTCGTGGTGGTATAGGAACGGCTCCAAGTGCTCTTGGTAGATGTAACTTGCACCCTGAGCACCTGGTAGGATTAGGTATAGATGTGCGAAGAAGCGGATCCATGAGTAGAATGGTACCCAGCTCAGGATGAAGTCGAATGTGTTCTCGACGGCTGTGCAGGCAGATAGAACGACAAAGTAGATCAGCCACGGTGCGAGGAGGGCTGGGTCGGATGTGTGGAGGGCTTTGTATGACGCGAAGATGGGAAAGAAGACTGTAGTGACGACACTGGTGAGTTGTTAGTGAAAGAAGTCACACAGTGTGCTGGTTGTCTTTGGAAAGAAAGTCATAAGTTCAAGAGCCTGTATTGAGTAATGGCTCGCATGCTACACACTTCGAGCGGGCAAATTCACGATAAGCCGTGTCCGACTGGGTTTGCTTGAACATTGAAAGGCGGGGGGCGGGGTACAACGTACGTCAAGCCATCGGCGATGAAGCCGAACATGATGGCTAGTCTTCAGATCAATGCAACGAGGGTTGTGGATGTGAGATGAGATACAAAGAGGGCTACAAGCACGAGTAGCGAAAGCTGAGGCTTAGCCCGGGTACGCGGCGGAGGTGCGGAGCAGTCTGAGCGGCCTGGTGATCCACGGGATGCACGTCAGTCGCCGGCCAACAGCGGCGTCGCGCTATCCGCTTTCGGTCCTTTGCGTCTGAACATCACCTGCTGGCCGCATTGTGATCACACTTTGCCACTGCTATCCTCATGAGGCTCTAGGTATACAGGCGGCTGTATTCTTCAACGCGGCTTTGTTCAGCACCTTTTACTACTCTTGGAACGACTTTGCAGAGAAGCGCCGCCACCAACATTTCGATGCAATATCTCCGAAAAGAAGAAACAACACCAATGACATCATCTTCGGTCATAAAGCTCTGGAGAGATACCTCCATCCTCATGCTCTCGAGTCCGAGCTTGCAACGTTTGGAGCAGTAATCATTGGAGGCAAATCACATCCAAAGCGCAACACATCCTACGTCTCCTAGTGACTTACCGCATGCAACCATCCGCAGATCTCTTGGGTTTCTTTTGAGATCAACCAAATACCTCAGCCTTCTCCATTGTGCGAAATTGTCCGTGTAATAAAGCCCACGTTGGACCACGTGGGGGGAAAGCCATACTGCTGACAATGAGACCACTACCAGCGGCATCGGGAGCTGCAAAGGCTTGTTGCCGGCTAATCGCCATGTACGTAGTCATTGGCTCCCTTGGCCAATTATCTGTATTCCTCTGTGCGTAAATCCGGTACTTCTACAACTCCTCCAGCACCCACTTCACCTCACCCAAACGGGCAGGACACACGAGAACCGAAGCCGCCTCCCATGTTGCCATGGCTGCCAAGATCACGCTTATTGCGACCCTGGATCCGATAACAGCTCCCACCCCGCATTTGCAACATTGCTGCTGTTTGACATCATTTGGCTATGCTCTACACAGGCAGAGTTGAGCATTTTATATCCAACTTACAAAGTGATGGATTACGTAAATACGTCCCCATGCCTTCCCGGCTATCTGTACAGCTACAGTAGCCGGGGTCCGTTTACTTGGCCCGAGACTTGACATGGCTGATCATACCCAAAATGCCAGTCAAATCCCCAGTAAGCATGTTGTAGCTGCACCAAGTCTTGGCATGAACGTACATTCACCCAATCTTTGCAAGTCCCGATGCCGGACGACGTATGCCAACTGTTGGGATGCTGCTGCCTCACGTATTCTCCCGCTATAGATCAAGCTACCGAAGTCTCTTTGTTGAAAAAGGAAAAGCTTACTCGCATCAAGGTGCCGAATAGTTTTGTGCGACATGGGGTAATGCACAAGTATAAAACCCAATGAAGTCCCTACAGAATTCTTCCCAGGTTCTCGTCATCGCTAGAACTCATCAGGGCAACCTCTATAATGGCTTTAATAAAATCAATCTTGGCATTACTTGCCTTTCAGCTAGCTAGCGCAGCACCTCAAGCCTCAGTAACCTCATCTGCTATCAGCTCTCCCAGCCCAACTGGACTCGATCCGGCAGTCGCACTCTCTACAGAAGAAGTTGAGAAACTCTATAGTCTCCATGAAGAGCTCGTCAACATTCCATCCATTTCTGGGAACGAAATTGAATGTGCGGATTTTGTATCAAAGTATCTAGCCGACTTGGGCTACTATGTCGATAAAGTGCCAGTCAATGAAACAGGCACATACAATGTTTTCGCCTATCCTCAAGCATTGAAGGACGAGGGAGTATGGCCAGAGGTTCTCGTCACTAGTCATATTGATACTGTACGCGCAGAATTTGAGTATGTAAACCATAAACAACTACTAACTGAAAAACAGGTACCGCCATTCTACCCATTCGAGCGCCGTGAGAGGAATGGCACAACCTACCATTTTGGCCGAGGAACCGTCGACGCAAAAGGACCAGTCGCAACAATGATCATCGCATCCCACAAATTCCTTCAATCCCGCAATGAAACAACCAGCCTGGGCCTGCTATTCGTCGTCAGCGAAGAAAACTCCGGCGCGGGAATGAGAGCATTCGCAAAATACGCATCCAACACCACTTTCCGAGCCGGCATCTTCGGCGAACCAACCGAAGGCAAGCTCGCAAGCGGCCACAAAGGCAGTTTCGGCATCACTCTCAAAGCCATCGGCAAGGCATCTCACTCCGCATACCCGTGGCTCGGTGTAAGCGCCATCAACTACGTTGTCGACGCCATCTCTGCACTGAGGGCTCTGGAACCCGCTCTCCCCAAGAGCGACCTTCTGGGTGTCTCAACCCTCAACACAGGCCTCATCGCCGGCGGTGTCGCAAGCAACGTCGTGCCCCCCAACGCTAACGCAAGCGTGCTAGTCCGCGTTGCGCGCAGCGAAGCCAACGCCGTCGACACTATCAAAGACATGATTTCCGGGCTGTTTGCTCCGCTCGTCAACAGCGCCAAAGAAGTCAATGCCACGTTCGAATATACATATTCTACATTGTCGACAAGAGCGCAGATTCTAGATACCGATATTGAGGGCTTGGAGGTTGCGCCGGTGTTTTATGGGACTGATATTCCGAATTTGCCGCAGGTGGAGAAGAGGTATTTGTATGGCACGGGTACGATTGAGGTGGCGCATACGCCGGATGAGATGTTGAGTCAGGAGGAGTTGGTGCAGGCTGCCGAGGCGTATGGAGCGATTCTGAGGACGATTTTTAAGGAGTAGAGTTGTACAGAGGGAGGGAGTGTGGATTCATGTAGAATGGTGTGGTCTTACTACATGATTGCTATTGAAATCCCAAAGATCCAATACCATCTTCTTTCAACCTCTTTGCCCCTTCCAGTGTCACTTCTGCATAGAAAGCGTCTTTACGATGCTGCTGTCTTGGTGGAGTGAAACTGCAGTCCTCATCCCGCTTCTGCCTAAGAGTGAAAAGACGCAGAAAAAAAAAGTAATTCATCCCCGTGGTGGTATCGCAAACAAAGTTTTTTACATAAGCCCACTTCCACCAGGTATATAAACTGCGATCGCCTCCCTCAATCCATGCCCTTTACCAACACATCACTCTTTATCACTACTCACATTCTTATACTTATTCTTACTCATACACTTACCCATATCCATACACACCTCTCCATCTATCCTTCCATTCATCTATTCTTTTTCATCAATACTTCCATCTTTCATTCCGGCCCTCCCATTCCTAGGTTTTCAGTACCGATGCCTCGCTCGATCACCATGATTGAGCCGACGCATGTCCCTCTCCTTCTTCCTCTCCTAATGCTCCCAATTGTGCCCCCGGCCTACACCTGTCCCCGCCTCACATGGCGCTGGCGACGACCGAAGGGGGTATCGAGGCTGCGGGGGGAGGCGGTTCTTGATAGGGAGTGGAAGGGAAGAGAGGGTTTGGAGGGCGCGGATTGCGCTTTATCTTGCCATTCGGTATGGCATGCCCAGTTGCATGGGTCTTTCACCTTTGTTGCTGGTATTACAAGGTAAGGTTTTTTTCTTGGACACTGGTGATTGTACTTTTACTGACTCAATAGGGTTTCGAGAATTCGAAACCAGAGGGTGTTATGAGACTTGGTGTGCAGGAATGGGGGATATATACAAAGTCACCCATCCCTATCTTCATCGTTTTCAGACCACGACCATCACGCCCAAGAGCTTCGTGCCAGAGCTCGCTGAACTATAATTCCTTACAGTCAATTTCTTTGATACCCGATTGCGGCAGGTTGGGGTGTTGCCTGCCATTCTTTTCTGAGATGATTGATCTGATACGCTACATAGCAAACAGATGAAAAAAAAGTCAAGTAATAATTCCTCACAATGGCAGAGAACGGCAGTGTCAGCGTTACTATGCCAAAACTAGGTGCGACCTTCATCACTGCAGATACCCTGTGGTCATTGTACCTGTAGACTAAAAATACATCTCTTATAAGTAAATTATTTTCTTCTCAATCTTGACTTTGCTTTTCGAAGATAATGCAATAAACGTCATACCACTTGATTATTTTCGCAAACAAGTGACGTTAGTTTACCAACATGACAGTGGAGAGATATTGTCGAAAGAAGTATAAGTCCATGGTAGGCATGTAATACGGATGTCGGCTGGGAGAGTCCCGAAGGAGGGCATCTTGGCACCAATACCGCAACGTCAGATGGTGGGGCGTGTCATTAGAGGTGCATCTCACCCCCCATCTGTGGCTAGGCGCACCCAAGGCCTATCACAATTGTCGATAGCATGTACATACATATACTCACTTATGCTCTGCGTGAGGCTGAAGACAATGTTCTTGCTTGGCAGCGACCTCGTGCTGCGCGCATGCCACGCGAGCAAATGACGTGCCGTGGCCCTGGAGTGAGCGCGTGCGTGACCAGCCCAGGTCGCTAATGTCGAATGCTCTCTCTCCTACGTCCGGTATATCATCCCTTTCCTCTGGCTTCCGCCCACGCGATCCCCGGCTGCATACATAAGAATCCAGGGTCTCGATCAGCAACCACTGCGCTTGTCCTATGACGCGTTTGCGGCTGCTGGCTATTGGTCCTAACAATCTCCGCTGGATCCGCTACTAAATGCTGCTCACGCCTCGCACCTATTCCAACGCACAAACTGCCGACGCCGGCCGTAAACTTCCTGAATCCTCATTCTTCGTGTGCACAAAGTCGCGCAAGGAGCTGCAAGCTGAGGAGAAGCGTGCGTTGAGGATGTTGCTGCTGCACCAAAAGGGGGCTGTCAAAGTAGGCGAGGTTGTGAGGTGAGTTGCTGTATTATGAGCGTAGGCACATGCTCGAGACATGGACATGCATACATGTCGTATGGTTTGGGGCACGCCAAACCGCTCAACGGCCCCTCGTGTTCAACGGTGCTAAGACGCTGGGCAGGTACACACTTACATACACGCCCTCCGAAGACCGAATATTACCCCCGCCTCCTATCCTCCATGTCCGTATACGCAACTCGTCGGCCATTCCTCTGCGCGCCGCATACCTCCATGGGCCCTACACCATCCACGTCTCGGCCTACCCCTCCACCTTCAACCCCAACGTCAAAAACGACGGTGCCAAGATCTACGGCGCCCCCGACTTCGAGCCTAATCTAAAGGCAGGAGGTTACTGGAACACAAAATTAACAGTGCCCGAGCATGCGAGGACTGAGATCCCGGGATATAATGCCGAACCGAAGAGCGTTACTTGGATAATTGAGATTGCATCGCAGATCATCTTCTCAAACTCTGCGTCGGTAAACTACGAATTGCTAGTTGCACGCGACGAGCGATCGCTTGACCTGGGCTTCACCGCTGTAACGGGAAACACACATGGAACGCCGGGAAAAGTCCAGGACCACCAGCAAGGAAGCCAGAAGCATGTTTCAAACCATGCAGGACAGCCCAAGGGCGTCTATTCCAAAGCAGTCAAATTGGTAGTGGACGATACAACTAGTTTGTGGAACAAGCCCGAGTTGCCGGAATGGAAAGACGAGGAACCGGGCAGCGAGGGAAAGCCCATGGATACCGACCATGCAAAGGAGCTGGCTGAGCGGAAAAGAAAGAATATTCACCTAGTCATTGTAACACATGGATTGCATAGCAATCTTGGTGCAGACATGCTGTACCTGAAAGAAAGCATTGATGCGACTGCGAGACAAGCGCGCGAGAGTCGGCGAAAGCGACGCAAGGAGAAAAGGGGAGATGGGACCAAAGCTACAGGCAAGAACACATCGACTGCCCCATTGTCTGGTGGTCAAGATGAGATATCGGATGCGGAAGATGAAGACGAAGAAAACGAGGAAGAAGTAGTTGTACGTGGCTTTGACCGCAACGTTATACGCACCGAACGCGGCATCCAGTATCTGGGGAAGCGACTTGCTAAGTACGTCCTGCGTTTAACGTACCCTGACCAGCCATACCTCCCAATCAAGAAGACCGTGGGACAAAAGCTGTCCAACACGTTTTCGCCCACAAGAGACAAGACAGATGAAGGTATTCCTGCTCATCATGGCAGTAGTGTGCATCACTTGTTTAAAGGTCGGGACAAACGCGCATACCGCTTCACCAGCATCAGCTTCATTGGTCACTCTCTTGGCGGCCTTGTACAGACGTACGCCATTGCATACATCCACAAACACTCTCCCCACTTCTTCGACACAATCAAGCCTGTCAACTTCATTGCGCTGGCATCTCCATTTCTGGGGCTAAGCAATGAGAATCCCACCTACGTCAAGTTTGCACTAGACTTTGGACTAGTCGGCAGAACAGGACAGGATCTCGGTCTAACCTGGAGAGCACCCACTCTAGCAAGGAGTGGCTGGACCGCCATGGGCAATGTGTTCGGAACCCAAGGTCAAGCTTCACAGCAGGAGGACCCTGGTGCTAAACCTCTATTACGAATTCTTCCCACGGGGCCTGCGCACCAGGTTCTGCGGAGATTCCGGAATCGCACCGTATACTCCAACGTCGTCAACGATGGAATCGTGCCACTGCGTACAAGTTGTCTTTTGTTCCTTGACTGGAGAGGGCTGGGCCGGGTACAGAAAGCCCGGAGAGAAAACGGACTCATCGGTACGGTTGCAGTGTGGGGTTATGGCCAACTTACTGGGCAAAACTCTTCGCCCAATCCTTCACGAATTGGCTTCGCTGAAGACGAAAGCTCTGGAGCTGATTCTCCAACATTTCAGGGTGATGATACAGCCGTACCGCTACCAGGTGCTGACACGACCAACCGAGAAGACGAAACGCAGGTATCTACAGTAGAGACTGCGGCGCATCAAGTGATTGAAGGACAAAAGAAGAGCCCGGATGACACAGACCCCAACGAGAACTATTTTCAGCCGCAAAATACGCTGATGCAGTGGTGGAGCTATATCAGGCCCACTGGAAAGCATACATCGCGCGACAAGAAGATGTTCTCGCGTAGTCAGACCATCTACAAGGATGATGAAGAAGAACAATCTCCTACCCAGGCAGAAGACTCGTCGTCATCATCGCGTACAGACCAGCAAAGGAAAAGGCCTCGAGCGACGCGTGGCGACTCCATTGTCGATAACCCCCGAAGCAACATGGCACCACCCAAGACTACGATATTCGAGTCGGCTGGTGATTTGATCAACCCTCCTGTACCTCCACACTCATGGATCAACGATCCAACCACTCGAACACGCACCATCTTCCATGACAGGATTTATCATCCGGAAGATATCCCTCCGCCACCAATCAAGAAGAGGGCCACGCGGAACTTTTCAGGTGACAGCGTTGCCAGTCAAGCATCGACAGCAAGTGTTGATGACAGTGTGATGCGCGTCGAAGAGAAGATTGCCCGCGCTTATCACAAGGATCTCTCATGGCGTAAGGTACTGGTCAGCCTCGAGCCCGACGCCCATAACAATATCATTGTACGCCGTATGTTTGCCAACGCATATGGATGGCCTGTCATCAAACATCTTTGTGATACCCACTTTGCCGACACATACTCGGCTAACACACGCACTGAGCTCGAGCCTGCAGTTGAGCGAGCCGAACCAATGGATAAGCCTATAGACAAGAATGGCGAGCGGGTCAAGGGGCAGCAGAATCAACAGCCACCCGTTGAGCGTTCTGATAGTGAGATGCGCGAGGTAGCTGATGAGCTGGCGCCTCTGCACCCGCTTACTTTGAAGATGCCAAAGAGATCCAACACGACCGACTCTATGCATAGTATCGGGTCTGGTGACTGGGATAGCATCTACTTCAACGAGACTAGCGACGATGAAGACGAATTCGACGATCGTAACGCCGTGCAGCGTTTCTTCCAGCCTAATAGCGCAAAGAGCCCCAGAAGCCCTGGATTTCCACCTAAGACACCTGACGGAAAGGGAACTAGTCAAGCGGACATTGCCGACTTCCTTCGTGGGTCCAATGTTGAAGTTCACAGGGGTCTTGGTGCAAGCCCGAAGAGCAAAACTGCTGCTCCTTTGACCGCTGAGCCGGACTCGATTGAGCCCGGCGAGCCTTCTGCTGCAAATGAAGAAAGACAACAAGCCTCGACCCATTCTGAGGCACCCATCGGCAGGATTAGCGGAGTTGGCTTGAGGAATGCTGCCGATGTTTCTGCGTCCCCAGAGGGTAGTAAAGCGAGTACTGGAGGCAACAGCGTCACTGAGCAGGTTGCCAGACTGAGTAGCCCCAAGGCCGACAAGCAGGATGATGCTAGCTCGTAGTGCAGAGTCCGCGACATCTTGAAGCGAGTAACAGTGTAGAACGAAGAGGTGCAAGAGACGATGACAACATCGCATAGACATTTTCGACATGTATCACAATTCTCCTGGCCATTTGGGTACTCTTCTCAGATTTTTCTCTTGTTTAGATCCTTCCCGCGTTTTCGGTCTTGGATGCATGGGGGTGTTACGTGACGTTAGGTTTGAGATCAGTGCACAGAGGCGGATGGTACACGGACGATAGCATGGGCCGTAGTACCATTTGCGTACCCACAAGATACCCCAGATATCACATAGTTTGTAGACGTATATATTTTTAATCTTATTTCCTGCTTCCATTCATTCACTTTGCCCTTCACTGACGCTCTACTATACTGTGTTCACACTGTGTCCTGGTTGACCCAATGTACTCGAACAATGCATCACCTGCGACGCAGTAGCACATATATGAACATCTCACTCATGAGCCTCAGAGGTTTTGTTCCTCGCTTTCCTCTTTCACAGACAACTCTACTAGCGACGTCACCTTGATGACGCGCCTTCCCAATTCACTCCGTCACTAACGCGTGACAACGAGCTCCGTTTGTTTTCAGTAACTCGAAGATAGCAAACCGAGTTGGACACTCACTTCACCACACGAGCAAAACGCAGCTTTCCGGGATCTATTTCAATTCGTCAACACACTGGTGACTACATATTACCGTTTAGAGAAGGGACAGTAGTCAGTGCGATGCCCACCTCTGACCCTATGAGTCCCTCAAAGCACCGGAGTCCTAGGGCTGGCAATGACCAGAAACAACGCCGCCGCGTCGTACGTCGATCAAATATGTCACGCTCGAATACAACTCCTGATCTTGGTGTCATGTCGCCCGCTTCGATGTACAGTGGATGTGTTATCACAGCAGTGCCGGATAAAGCAGGGCTCGTAAACATCTCATCATCTTCAGAGTCGTTCCCTTCGGTGACCAAGAGTACATCTTTCGGCCACTCGCCTACGGCCTCGACTAGAAGCGGATCAAGCACGACGATAGTGGAAAGTAAGAAGAAGCAAGGCTTGTTTGGTTGCAAGGCAAAGGACAATGACCGCCCGAAAAGTTCGCATAGGTCCCCCCTTCAACTATCACCTCTGCCTCCGCTTACTCCAGTGAAAGCCGCGCAATTCCTGGGCGTCGAAGGTGGCGCTGTTAGGACTCGAAGCGGGTCGCTGGGTAGTCGAGCTCAGTATGATGAATTTGACGGTCTACTGGTACGCTCGATTCCGAAAAACAAAGACGTTTTGACTCGTCTAACCGATCCCCAGGACTCTGCGAGCGAAAAGACCGATTCCACAGAGGAGGATGTTGTCTCAGGACCAACAAAACCGAAGTGCCTCTGGGCAGCTGGTAACAGGAAAGCACAGCGCATGTTAGGCATAGCCCCATCGCGTGAATATAGCATCAAGCATGGAGCTGAGCCAGAGCGCGGTGCCACCGAGACGCCAGCGATTCATTCAAAGAAGGGAAATCGGGTTGATTACAACAGTGAGCCTGATGTCCATAGCCGCGCTCTTGCAAAGCCTCGAAAACGTCGTACGCGCAAGAAGGCCCCAAAATCACTCGATCGGATGACGCCTATCACGGAAATGTCTTGTGACGAGTTGCGTTCTTCGTATCACGACTCTGAACACAATCCCGAGTTAGAACTCATATCAGAGTATGAACGCGATCCTTCATACAGTGGTGGGCTACCACCACAGCCACCTACCCCATTACCGTTCACGGCTAATACCAGCTATGAGTTGGAGGAAGGAGATGTCTCGCCAGTGGATGTCGGCTCAAGGAAACATGCTGGTGCTGGAGCGAAAGAATATGCAAAACATTCCGATCGCGAAGTTGGCTTCAGCAAATCTAAGCAAGAGTCGCCAGCTGTCGTTCACCTGCGTGGTCCTCTACAGTCTTTTGAGGACCGCCTTCTCGATGTGACTGAAGCTAATCTTGCGATACAGAGGATGAGGAATGATACCAATGATGCTGCGAGGTTCCACCTGGAAGCCAAAGGCTGTTGTTTGAGTGCTTCCCACAAAGCCATGAAGAAGGAATTTGTGGCGTTAAGGCCGGATGCGCTGGTCGAGGAATCTGACAACGACGTAGAGTCTGAAAGCGATGACAGCAAAAAGTTGGTTTCTATTCGTGGCAGCATTGATTTGGAAGAAGAGCCAATCGTTGATTTGGCCGAATTGATGCCTTGCACACATATCACCGCAAGTGCGAGGAAGCTTGTGGATGTTCCACCCAAGAAGCCAAAGCCAACCACTCCGTCCAAATGCGAGGTTATACCGAACCTACTAAGCGGAGTAAAGTCGCCTTTGAAGTCGACTTACATCTTCCAGCACGACGAGAAAGCCAGCCCGTTCAAGGAACTCATTTGCAACGTAAGCGTACGTACATCCATACTACCTCTCCCAACCCAATCTAACACCATGCAGCCTTACCCCACACGTAGCTATCCTCCAGCTAAACCCCCAAGACAGATCCGTAAAACAAAGAAGAGCAACAATCTCTGCAACGAATCCCGCATCCTGGTCGAAAACTGGATCTCTACAAACGATCCCATCAAACAACGCCCCTTGTCCGACCGCCTCGACATCGACGTTTTGTCCGACCAGCAAATCCCGCCTGCTCCCTTCCCCAAAGACAACAACAACAGTATCTCCACTACTACCTCCACTCCTCCACCCCCTAGGATATCATCAAAACAACACCTCTGCCTCCGCAACGGCCACATTCTCCACCCCATCAACCTCCGCTCCATTCCCGACGAAGCCGCCATCAACGTGCTCGACGTCCGACCTTACATCCGCACGCACTCTGGACGCAAGATCCACATTCACATCCTGGTATTTTGTGATCGCTGTGGTGAGGATGTGCGCGAGGAGCTGTGGGAGTGCAAACTCAAGGTTTGTCGCTTGGTCGTGTGTAAGGGGTGTGCAGAGGATTTGGAGGCCGAGTGGAAGAAGAGGGTTATTGGGGAGTGGGAGAATTGAGGATGGGAAAGTTGGGAAGATGGGGTTTTAGGGGGATAAGTGGAAAAAGTGGGTTAGGAGGTTAGGGTTATGGAGATGGAGAAAGTGGATTAGTGGGACATTCTGGGTACGAGTGTAATGAGTAAATATGAATGAAGGTATTGTAGATGAAAGTGTGGTTGGTGTAAATATATATGGTGTATGTGAATTCCGTGTCGTCGTTATGAACTTTGAACTGACATTGCAGTGATTTGTCTCACACCTTTTTCTATGCAAGGAAGTTTGATAAGAGAGACGAAATTATTAGTTACTCAATAACCGAAGAGCTGATTATCACAGATCTATCAACTCCAAATTCACTATGCAGTGCCTATTACACCTTTCCGTATTACTTACCCCAGTACGCCATGATGATTACCTCGAAAAAAAAACGCCAGAACTTATCTCCCGCAAGTCAACCGAATCTCCATCCCTTTCAAACACCCCAAGAAACCCATCAAAAGCCACATCGCAGCTTTCATACCTTGGAAGATTCCCAGACTACCATACTGAAACGACCCCACCCCACCCCCCATTTTCCTTCCTTCAATAAATCACGCTATGCAGACGCAAGCCCGCAATATTACCCTCTCAAGCCCCCCTCCAAGCCCCCCTCAACCCCGCGCCCCTGCATCCCGGAGATGAACTCACTCCTCAACTCCCTCTCCTCATCAAACAACCTATCCCAGCCCGGCCCATCTCTCAGAATACTCTGGCCATACAGGCGGGGATGCGGATGCGCCCAGTGGGCAATCAGGAACTGCAAGACGTAGACGCGTAAATCGGAGCGGGCTGGGAATTGGGACCACACGTACTTTGCGATGGAGGGGGTGAGGGGGAAGTGGCGGCCGAGGGACCAGCGGATGCGGCCGAGGGTGTAGTGAGTGAAGGAGGGGGAGCTGAGGGTTTGGGAGAGGTGGTAAGCGTAGAAGCTTGGGGGGACGGGGTAGTGATACGCGGGTTGGAGGGTCAGGGGGAGGGAGGTGGGGGCGTCGATTGGAAGTGTTCCGCGTGCTGTGGGTGCGGGTGCAGGTTTCAAGCCTGGATAGATGTGCTTGGTGGTGGATTTGGGGTGCGCTGTGGGTGGTATGCTGAGAGCGCTGGAGGAGGAAGAGACTTCGTTGGGTGTACACGCGGTTTGATGTTTGTTGGTAGCAATGGAGGGCTGGCTAGGCTTTGGGTGATGGGCCATCGAGACTACATTCAATGGGGCTGGCGCAGGTGCGTACTGCTGACCCATTCCCTGAGCAGTGTTGAGGTCGGCTGAGGCGGGATACGCGTCCTTGTATATATAGTGGAGGAAGAGACAAAAGATGGTGGGATCGACCTCAGGGAGTCGGATGACCCAGTCTGGTTTCTTCACTTTCTCTTCTACCTCTTCCTCGTCGTTGTCTAACTCGATCTTGATCGCCGTCTTGGTCTCTTCGGGTTCCGCCGTACTTTCGGCTGAATTGCCTTGACGGGTAGTCTCTGATAGCTTTCGTTTCTTGTTGGTACTAGTCGAGGACAAGACAGTTAGACGCAACTGAGAAACTTGCTGGTGGAAGTAGTTCGAATAGTGACACAGGAGTGCAACGGGAAGGATGAAGCTTCGGCGGTTTTGATGTTCTCCAACTACGACTCGTATAACGTTCCCTTCAATCCTTACAGTTGTTAGTGACGTACGCCGAAGTCTACCAACTGAGATAGCTTACATTTTAACAAACATATCCGGTTGTTTTGCACCAACTGCTTGCGGAAGCGGGGGTTGAGCTGCGGTTGGCGGTAGTTGAGCTGGTGGTGCCTGTTCGATCATTGTCGTTGGCAGGACTGGTAACGCTTTGGAATTTGGGAAACTGATAGTCGGTTGAGCAGGCAGAAAGAGCTTATGGAGTTTGTTGAAGCAGAAGTTAGTGGATGTAGATGATAGAGGCCTTATTTTTATCTCATCAGTACGGCGTTCACCTGGTAAAACAAACGGTCGAGGCGACGGGTGCGAGAGACACTTTCACCTCGTTTCGAAGTGAGTGAGTGACATGTAGGCAGAAGTAAAAGCTTGAAGCTTTCACGCACACATGCTGAAAGTAAAGAAAGCTGTATGATCGGGACCTGTCTCAGTAAAGTAGGAAACTTCCGCACCCTCATCTAACTGTAGCATCTTGAGGTGATTGCAGGCTCGGTACATGCTCATGTCGAAGACGGACGATATATTTATGGCAGATCAATCAGGAGCTTCGATTAATCACTTACGAAATACTGAAACGTTTGCATCACATGTAAGAAGTCGGATCAAGTTTGAGAAAGGTTCGCGTCGTAGTGAAAATTGAAGATGTATGTATTAATCGCACTCTACCAAGAAGGCATGGGGTGAATGCCAAGGCATTATGCATGTTTGCGTGGGCACCACAACAATAGATACATACGCAGATGGTAGCCTATTTGTCACATGACAAAGCATAATTCTAGAAAACGATGAACATCTCAATCGTTGTAAATGAATCACTTCAAAGTTCAAGGCACATGGTTTAGCAGAGAACATGGTGTATTAGACGCTCACTATGAGCAAACTACTTCAGTAGAAAGTATGGGTATGGTAAGTCAATCCTAACAAAGAGGCAGTCATGAGATCTGCTAATCTCATAGTGGCCAAGAGAGACAACCGCCAAACTAGACTTTCGCCTCGACGTTGACATCCTCAACGTGGCCGTGGTGACCAAACTTGAGTTTTCCGTCCTCAATATCACGGGCAACGCGGTCAAGACGCGACTCAACCTTTCCAGCCTTCCAAGCAGGCAGACCAGAATCAAAGACATCGTCCATCTCCTCGAGTGTCTTGCCCTTTGTCTCTGGTGCGGTCAAGAACATGTGAATGAACGCAACGGCGTTGAAAGTACCGAAGATCATGTACATCTTCCAGTTGATGGACCAAAGAAGGGGTGGAACAGCAAAAGCGAGAGCACAGTTCCAAGTCCAGTTTGTAGCGGTGGCGAGACTGACGGCTTTGGCGCGGACCTTGGCGGGGAAGATCTCAGATGGGTAAGTCCAGGAGACGGGTCCCCAAGTGGTGGCAAATGTAGCGACAAAGAGGTATGAGCATGCTACAATGGCCTTGGAAACGTCGCTGCGCTCACGAGGTACTACCCATGAGATATCCTTGTCGGATTTGTCGGGATTGGGATTGCCGTAAGAGGCCTGAAGAGCGCCCGTGGTGAAGAGCCAAACAGCCATTCCAAAGGATCCGCAGAGCAATGCTGGGCGACGACCGAACTTGTCTAGGTATAGGATAGCCGGGAGAGTCATGACAACATTGATGATGTACTGAATAGATGCAGTGAGGAGCTCATCGGCGATTCCAGCTCCGCGCATAATGAACACAATGTAGTACATCATGATGTTCATACCTGAAACAGTCAGTAACGGTGTTATGAGTTTAAGGGATTTCCATACCGCAGAGCTGCGACCACATCTGAATGGACATGCCGAGTATGACGCGCTTGAGAATGCGAGGCTTGACAAGAGCAGCGAAACTAGTTTCAGCAACCTCACGCTCAAAAGCAAGAGCCTCCTCAATCTCCTTGTATTCAGCAAGAACCTTGGGGTGGTTGACATCGCCACCACCGTGGAGGTTGGCGAGAACTTGGAGGGCCTCCTCCCAGCGGTCTTTTGAAGCTAGCCAACGTGGAGATCGAGGGAAGAAGAAGAAGCCGATGAAGAGGATCGCACCAGGAACAGCCTGGATACCCCATGGGATTCGGAAGGCAGCAGTGGCTTGGTTTGGGTTGTCAACACCTCCATCTACGAAGGAACTTCCGTACTGGATAAAGTACTGGATCACTGCAAGTATGTCAGCGTGAGGAGAACCAGCAAAACCACGATATCAATCTAAACAAGGCACTTACATATACCCCAGGTAATAGTCCATTGCTGTAGTGAAACCACGCGGCCACGAATCTGCTTTGGCGCGATCTCTGCTTGGTAGACGGGAACCATGGCGGAGCAGATACCAATGGCATATCCGCCAACTGCTCGACCAACACAGAGGAGAGCGACACCGTTAGACGCCGCCTGGAAGATTGCTCCAACAATCCAGATGAGGGCGCCAATCTGGATAGCGACGCGACGCGAGAGCCGATCGGCGATGAAGGAAGAGGAGAGAGCTCCCAAGAGCGAGCCCGCAGGCATAGCAGCGGTTATACCACCTTGGCGAGTCCCACTGGGGTTGCCAAAGTAGCGCTTGTACGCTGGAGTGCCAAGCGCGCCCGACATGGACGAGATATCAAAGCCAAACAGGATACCGCCAAGGGCTGCAAATCCTGTTGTTGCATAAACGTTGTAAATCTGGGGGAACTGTAGTACTATAATCAGTAATCTTATCAAGGCGTAACCAGATGTTGAAAGCTTACCTTCATCTTGCCAAGTGATTGTGACCAGGCTAGAAAGACAAGTCGGTGGAACGGGTGGAGAGAAAGGTGTACAGAGTGAGATGGCTACAATTTTATATAAGAGGAGGTGTGCATAGTGCGCGTGATCTCGCTGGAATACAGTCCGTGTGGGTGGCCAGTTGGATTTTGTCTTTCACTCCTGCTGTAAACTAGGCAGTTCCCATGCTGTGGCGTTTGTCTAAATTGGCAACCCCGCTAATAGGCGTTGGACTGGGGTACATGTGATCCTACAGGAAAGCGGGAATATTTCCTGGGGTAGTACAGGTGAAGGTCGCAGCCCCATGTCATTATGATGAAACCCTCCAATGGATGGACTTGAGTGCGACGCATGTACCTAGCACATATGCAAACCTACAGTTTCTCAAGTTCGTGGAGTCGTACCGACAGAGCATCGAGCAGTGGAGCATGTATGCCACGATATATACCGGTTCTTATGTGGGGTCGAAACCAAGGGACATCGCACTGATGCATATCAGTCGATGATCAGGAGCTCTTGGTATTCGACCCGCTACTGCAAAACTGGCAACTCAGGAAACCAGCCTTGCTCAGATCGCAAGCAAGCTCTCCAGTGACTATGGCTGCCAATAGCAACAATTGATCGACACAAATGTCCTGGTTTGGGATCTCCGACTTGGCACAGGCGCGGCATTACATGATGTCTCGCGAGCAGGATTCAGTGAAGATGAGCGCCAGTCTGGTTGCGCAGCACCATGCAGCTAAGGTGACCACCAAAGCAAGTAGTGGGACACCTGAGGTACGTTCTATGTCCAATAAAACTCTTTCCTTTAAATCTGTGGGTCGTACGCATGTTGTGGGATATGCAAGCGAAGCATTTGAGGAAGACCAGACGTTGCATTCGGGAGAGGAGACGACGTGCGCCAAGCACACAATGGTGCCAGCAAACTGACACCCAAGCTCTCGGCTGCCTTTGTCCCGCTCATCAACAACCCGTCGAATAGGTGCATGATGGCTGAGGCATCACTCAAATACGGGGGAGTGGAGCGCTTGGGTAGCTATTTCCAGCAATCCTACCGGCGCGTTGGATTCTCTCGCATTGCTGATTGGTGGTTGAATGGCTGGCCCGCACGCGCGGCACTTCTGTTCCGAGTACAGAGTTGGATGCAGTCAAGGGTCATGGTTTAAAGGAATCAACTGCCTGTTATGTGGGGATGTGAAGGTCTCTGGGTTGGATCGCGTGGCCCAGGGCGGGGTTTGGTCCGGCCTGCCAAGTCTACCACAGTGCCGGTGTCACTGCAGTATGTACCATGTACGGGTGTGCCTGTTTTGAAACCATTCATTTGTATAGGCAACATCTCATTCCCTGTTCCAGACGTGGTCTCTTCCTCCCAAAACCCAATTAGAAAATCATCGAAGCGAATACTAAAATACGGAACCGATTCAGGGAGGATGTACTTAGAACATCCGATTCCATATCGCGACATGCAACCCACAAATGATTTGTATCAAACACCTCACGACATATCGACTGAAGTGGGATTGCTATAAGCTGCACACATTGTCCTACATGGTAGCTATACCGATGTTATGCTGTAGCAAATTCAACTCACCGTGTCTTGGACGAGTCATGACGGACTACCCTACCTGAACGTGCTCTCCGGCTGAGCAGAACACACTTTGGGGAAATGACATGGCGACTGAGCACTAGTTGCTCTCACCTGACAGAACTTAACGATATACTGGAAGGACGACAGAATGGCTTAAGTATGTAAGCCGGTGCTGATCAGTTGGCAACAAGCTATGTGTATCCAGTGCTTTTTTTATCCAATCTGATACGGCTCCCAGTAGATGCAGATAAGGATCAACCTATCAATTCAGCATACCGTTAATAGGCATTCACATTCGCTGTATTAAGGTTTGCTTTTCTCCGACAAGATGCAATGCACCTGCATTCGCGAAATCGAATCATTCAACGGCCCTGGATTGCAATATCATTCTCGGCCGCGTACCTGCATATCGGATGCGAGCAATGTCCAACCTCTGTCCTCGGCTCTTTGCGCTTCCGTTTTTATTTCCAAGCTTGGAAATTCCGTAATAGTGGATATTTCTGTCCATGCTCATCTCTCAACAACTAGCATGTTTACCTCTCAGCAGCCGAACACCAACTTCTGGTCTCTCATTGGCTGCAACCGACCTATACACAGACCAATGATAGGGAATTGCCCACCACCTTCCAATTGCATCACGCAGCACCGTCTAGCACACTTCTAGCCTCTCCAAAGTCTGACATGCCGCTGGAATGGGATGGCCTCGTGTCGCACTGCATCTCATGATTCTTGTACCTTTCCCAGTCGGGATCTACTATCAAGTCCGCGACACATAGTCGCGATGCTCCTGCATAAGGTCGCGCGCACCAACCTGCTGATGCCGACAGCTGCCTGGGCCCATGACATGGTGATCTGTCCCCTGAAATGCTTATGAAGAATGTGCCGCGGACTGCATCCCACGTCTCGGGAACAGTATAAGTATCGTACCACGCTGTCGTAACCGAGCAGCAACACAGTCAGCTGCGGCTTCTGGATAAAATATGAGCATACTGCGACAGCTCATTCAGTGCGGACTACAGCCTACACTCCTCATAACCATCACTACAACGGCGTATCGCTAAATCCTCGAAATCTACATATCTCAAAAAAATCTAGTTGGTCGGTGACTAGCAGAGACGAGACATCGGAACTGTATTACGCACTTCCAGGATCGACCGTGGAGGAGGACATCAGCTGGAAGCGGTCACCGGATTCCGTAAGCCGAACTCAAAATTCGATCACCGTATACAAGTCAGGCGTCTGCTTCAGTGGCTGGGAATTTTGAATATCATACACACATAACTCACTCATGGAACCACTACGATCGTACTTTTCAGATCTTCTCTCACCTTGTTGGATCAAAACTCGACCTCAAATCACAACGGAACGCAACGCCAGTTCAGCTGGACTCTAGCTAAAACAACAGGAAACGATTTCCATTCTCAACGATTCTTATATACACCTAGCCGCAGCATAGGCTAGAAATATCCGAAACCACGGTATCGATATGCCGCACCACATTACAAACTGCGTCTTTGCGCGCACGAGCCTGACAACCTGTGACGTCTTTGTGCGGGCCTTGGCTCACATGAGCCCAAGGGCGGAACTATCACCCGAAGAATTCATCGAAGCAGCAAGTCCATGGTTTCTGGATACCGAAACAGTGTGGAGTAGGGTGTTTCTCACAAGCACAGGATGAGAAGGGAGAATATTTCCCTGATAGCGGGGAGAAAAAAAAGAAATTTATTGTAGACACCTTGGCTCAAGTCCGGCAACTCCCTGCAAAGGTGGACGGAAAACATCCCATCGATCCTCCGTGATTCGCGGACCTAATTTACAAGGCTCTATCTAACGCAACACTTAATACAACGTCTTACTCACAGCATACACATCCAACCCCCAACAACCCTCCCACCACCTCCGCACACAACAAACCCCTCATACGTCATCCACCGCGTCTCTCTCCCCTCTTCAGCCCCAAATCCTGCTTCCCATACCTAGCACGAAACCGCACTTTCCGCCGCATTCTCACAATACTACTATCATACGCGTCCTTTGCACTACCAAACGGACGCTTCCGATATCGTCGCCAGTGTTCGATCATTGAGCGTGAAAGCCAGGATGGATGCATAGCCCAGGCTGGTGAAGCGGAGGAGGAAGTAGGGTTAGTGGAGGGGATCATGAATGAAGAGCGCGGTGAATAAACCATGTGGATGAGAGGGAGGTCACGGGACACGCATCTCAGATCCGAATGGTTGGGAACCAGGGCTATTCTCTCCGGTGTGGCGAGAAGCGGGCTAGTAGGAGAGCTATCCCGAGACCCCAATATAAGCACGAATGTGAAAAGATGGAGAAACGGCATTATTGTATGTCATTAGCTACGTAGAATCAAGAGAGAACGAGAAATAAGATAAAACCCCCCGCATAGAGTCAGTCCTCTAGTTCGCTTATTGCCCCATTCCAAGACTCTTTTTTTGGGGGGGCATGCAAGATGAGGTAGGAGCAGAGTTATGCCGATATGTCTACTTATATGCTTTCTAGATCTTAGCATGAAACCGCTAGTTCTAGCGGCGCTTTAACCCACGGTACCTTGGGGAGAAGATGCATGTAGGTGCGGGTAGACTATACCATTTATGACTGTAGCGAGGGGCGTAAGGCGCGTGGTGCATAAATCTAGTGAAGAAAAAAAGGGATGGATGGGGAAGGGGACAGAGACACAAGATACGGCACAGAGTAAATGTTTTGGTGTTCAACCAGGTACTACTGTAAGGGCAATAGTATGATTGAATAATGCATGATTGGAATACTATTCTATGGCATGTTTATTAATTGTTCGATAAAAAAAGAGAAGTGAAAGGCAAAGCCAATGATCGGGGAGCGAGGATGAAAGAAGTACAAGAAGAAACCCTTCGGAGCCGTGGTGTCGCTCGGGTATGACCAACACCCCCAACGCCAAAAAGATAATACCTCCATCTACAAAGCATGTCGTAACCTGTCTGTCTGCATCTGTTACGCTAGATATGTGTCCCTACGATCTGCTTGCGCTACCAGGCTGGTGTATTAGAAGAGAGGGGTGTTTAAGCAGGAGAGGCGATTGCGCCGTCACCTAGGACCCTCGCCACCATGATATAGAGCATCATTGTGCCAAGGATGATCCTCCATTTATTGCGGCTCAACCAACTCTGGCCTGCATCTCGTGCTATTTGCGCAGCGTCCTGGACAACTGTTGCGCTGGTACCGGGTCGCCGTCTCAGGCCCGAGACGTCCGGTGAGCAAGGTGGGTGTTGTGCGGGTGAAGGAGCGGGCCGGGGTAGACCCGTGGCGGGATCAATGCGCTTTTCCTTCATCCACCTAAGGTTCTCCTCATCAACGTCGGGCCATTCGTGTCGGAACTTTGCACCGCCGTCGCCTGCCCTGATGTTGCCGTTTTGACCGCCGGCCGCGTTGCCCGAGCCGATCGCCTTTGTACCACCACCTGTACTGTTCCACCACCTCGTGCGCTGTGCAAAGAGTTTACGCTCGGCGTCGGATGCGCGGACACTACCCGTCGTCATCTCCTCGCTCGTCATGAAACTCAGCAGGCCAGTGAGAATGGTGCTGACCTCCCAGGCGGGATTGAAGCTCTTAGGGTGAAAGTCGGATATACTCAGGCACAATCGGCTGCTGGGCTGAAAGCGGCCAGAGGGTGTGTGCATGCGAATAGCGGGCGGGGCGAAGGGATAATCTGGCGGGAAGTTGAGGGTGCCCCAGTACTGGCCACCCTCGTACGGCGTGTCTGGCGGGCCGGTGATGATGTAGTGCCACTCGAGGATGTTCCGGTCCGAGGGATGTGCGGTAATGTAGGGCGGCGGGGATTTTGAAATGGTGGCATATTCTCTGGTGAGGCGCTTGGTGGCTGCCGGTGTCGCCATGGTGGGTGGGTGTGGTATGTGAAGGGTGGGTTGGCTGGGGTTGTCGACGTGGTCCTATCTAAGGAATCGACACTGACGTGCTGTTTGTATGATGGCGACAAAGCAAGAGCGGTTGGCAGGATGCGCCTGCTGTAAAGCCGGGAGCGCAAACAAGCCGTAGTCTGAACAAAGAGAAGAAGAAGAAGAAAGCACAGGCGGCGAGAAAGAGGTAATAGGGATCAAATATGAGAATGAGAGAGAAAGAAAGAGACCGAGTCTGGGGTTCGGGGTCAAACCGTGGTCGGGAAGCAGGCGGCACGTGCGCTCCGACACAGCCCGCAGCGGGCGATGCAGACTTCAAGGTTTCCGAACGTCTGCCAAGCATCACGCATCCAGACAACACACAGCCCAATGGCTTCGCCGCACGAAGACGATGTACGCAGTCTAGACACCTGTATATAGCTACTGGCGGCTAATTGACTGTCCAGGTCTTCGAAAGGCTCAAGAACGGGACGGACCTGAAGGAGCAGCAGCGACAGCAGGATGAGATCAACGCGCGATTGCAAGCTCAACAACAGCGGGCGCAGCAGCGACTGGGCGAATTGGTATGCATCATAGAAAGGGAGGGATAGTAGTCAATGGCATTGCTGATTCTATCCCAGGTTGAAGACAACACCTCGCTGCCAGTGACAATCTCGTCCGTCCGCGTGCTCCATGCCAATCGCACACGGAGAAGTTTCCTCGAGCGGGTGGTTGAGCCACTGCTGAGCGCAAACCGCACCGAGCCATACACGTTGGAAGAAGCGCTCAAGGAGGTGGGTGAGGCTACCGACAAGCTCAATCGTTTTGGTACGACCCCCACCAACTACTTGCTTTCACATGTCTGACACCCACCAGGCATCTTCAAGTCACCAATCTCAGTCTACCTCGACCGCCCCAGCCAGACCATTGCCACATCCTCGCCTACCGACGTCGATGTCTACATCTCGGCCATTGAGCGCGGCAACTACACCATCAAGACAGGAACAGAGGCCGGCGCTTCAGAGGCAGACGCCTATGTCCACGCCGAACTCCGCAATCTGTTTGGAGGAGCAGAGACGCTCAACGCACACGGATCCCTGGGTACACGGACGCGCTCAGCCTACTCTCTCGCTTTTGATACGCCCATCCTCGCCAACCCCGATCTCAAGTTTCAGTTGAACGGTTTCGCAAGTTCGACACTTAAAAGCTGGGCGAGCCATGAAGAGGTTCTCAAGGGTGGAAACTCGAAGCTGCTATGGAGAATGAAGAATGGAGCTACGCATGAAATTGGTTACTCAGCCATTTGGCGGCAGATCACCAGCCTGGCAGAGAACGCTTCGCCTTCTATCCGCGCCGATGCAGGCGATTCCTTCAAGTCAAGCATTACACACACCTGGCTTCAGGACAAGCGTGACTACCCTCTTCTTCCAAACAGGGGTTACATGATGAAGAGTGTATCTGAACTCGCAGGTTTTGGTCCCCTGAAAGGTGACACTGCTTTTTGGAAGTCCGAGGTCGAGTCACAAGTCGCACTTCCCTTTGGCAACACTGGCATTACTCTTACCGCTGGTCTACGAGGAGGTCTTCTCTACCCTATGAAGCTCGCTGGTGAAAACCAGTATCAGGCTTCCCGCATCAACGACCGCTTCCAGCTTGGTGGCCCCAACAATGTCCGCGGGTTCCGCCTTGCAGGACTTGGTCCCCGTGATGGACCTGATTCGCTGGGCGGTGACATCTATGCAGCTGGTGGCGCATCACTGCTCCTTCCCATCCCACGCGTCGGCAAGGAGACTCCCCTCCGCCTGCAAGCCTTCATCAACGGCGGCCGCCTTCTTGCACTCAAGAACCCCAACTCCAAAAAGGAAGATGGATCCTTTGGCAGCTCAAGCGACGTCTACGGCGCTATCCGAAAATCCTTCTCAACCCTCACTGCCGAGATGCCGAGTGCAGCAGCAGGTTTCGGACTCGTGTACGCACATCCAGTTGCGAGATTCGAAATCAACTTTTCCCTCCCCCTAGTCATGAGGGCCAAGGAAGAGAGCAGGAAGGGCTTGAGCTTCGGAGTAGGAATCGAATTCTTGTAGCCAATCTATATATAGAGAAGAAGATATGTACATGTACTAGTAGGCTCTGTGTTGACTCGAGCAAGCAAGCAAAACACTTTTCACTTTTCGCACTTCGCTTTACTTCCGTACCGAACGCGATCTTCGTGACAAGGTGTCCTGCTTACACAGCAATAGTGAGCAACACTGTACCACCTATCTAGCTTGCCACCAACTGCGGCCCCTCAAACACCTTCTTGGGATCATACACCGCCTTCAACTTGACCAACTTCTCGTAATTCTCACCCCAGTACCTCTTATGCGCCTCATCCTTGCTCAACCTCGGATCCGCATAGTTGATATACGCGCCAAACTGCTCGCCAGGCGTCGCACTCTCAATCGCACTGACCCACCCGTCTAGGAAAGAAAAGTAACTCGACTGATATGTATCGCTGTTCATGATGCGATCGTAAAATTGCATCTTGAAGACGGCGTCGCGGTGCGAGTACGCCGTCGCACTGTTGGGCACGGCCGACACGGCGGAGCTCTTGCCGCCGTGCAGGTCAATCAGGAGGTACCATCCGCGCTGGATCTTTACGGTGGTGGTGAAATAGTAGTCTGCCAGGGCGTAGATGGCTTTTTCGGACAGAGGCTGCGTCATGAGGGACTTGGCGTAGAAGTTCTCGTGGGTGTCGTAGATTTCCGCCTGGGGCAAGGGGCCGAAGGCGAAAGCGGTCAGTGTGTCGATCCAGCCTTTGACGGAGACGGAGGTGCCGGAACCGGAGCTTTTGGCACCGATTTTGTCGAGGAGGGGGAGCATGATTGCGTCGTAGGAGGAGCGGTTGCCGTAGTAGACGCCGGTGAGTTGGCCCGGGACGAAGGTACGCATGTTTAGTTCTGCGGGCTGGTCGTACAAGCTGAAGTTTTGGAGGGTGGAGAGGACTTTGGCAAGTTGCGAGGTGTTGGAGGGGGAGAAGTTGTAGGTGAAGTTTATGATGTTCTCGGGTGCGTCGTAGGTTTTGAATTTGTAGTCGACGACGATGCCAAAGGCGCCGCCTGCGCCACGGAGAGCCCAGAAGAGGTCGGGGTTCTCGGTGGCGGAGGCTGTTACGACTCTGCTGTCAGCCAAGACGACGGTCATGGAGATGACTTGGTCGAGGGCGAGGCCGTGAGTGCGCGAGGAGAGGCCATAGCCGCCGTGGAGAGTGAGGCCTGAGATGCCAACGCTGTGGTGATGGTGTTAGTGAAGGGCTTCTTCAGTGATGCACATTTGTGCTCTGTTAGAGACTTACCCAGGGCAGGTTCCATGGCTGAAGGCTTGCTTTCCTTGAGCATACAGTTTTGTTGCAATGTCACCCAGTCGTCCACCTCCTTGAATCACGGCGGTGTGAGTAACTGGATCGGCAGTGACATTGTTGAAGCGACGCATGTCAACGACCAAGTGGCCGTCCTCTCCTCCAAGACCAAACGAGGCATAGCTGTGTCCTCCACACTTGGCAGAGACTCGGATTCCAGCTGCAACGCCACAGGCCACGGCATCTTGAATGTGCTTGATAGTCGATGGCACAGCATAAGAGGCAGGCGTGATAGGCACACGAAGGTTGAACGGCTTTATCGCCTGAGTGTAGTTGCCAGTGTTCTTGGCGTACGTTGGGACACCGTTGGAGGCAAGACACTCATCAAGAGTAGCACGCTTGTCGAGGGGGTTGGCAAGCGTGGTAGTAGAAAGAAGCGTAGCCAAGGCCACAAACCAAGTAGAACAAGCTTTCATGCTGAAGAGGGGTTGGGATAGACTTCACAGCAGTATCGTGAGTGATCGTCTATAACCGTAGTCATCCCATTGCTTAAGTGTTTCTTGTACCCCCAGGAATAGGAAATTGACAAGCACACCCATCTTTGCAGATTGTACTATACAAACCAAGCACGGCTTGAAAAACACGGATGCCGGGAAGAAGCTTTCACATTAACTTTCCAAATGCAGCCGTGTATACTTTGCTAGGAAAAGATCCACATATTTTTCTTGGTTCTCCATCGGAGCCATGAAGGCGCGCCCGATATCACGCCAAGTATAGGGAGGTGTCGCGTATAACATGGGCGTATCATCAGTTGAGATGGTGGCCGAGGGGGCCCCGTGTGTAAGTACTAGGAGAAGAGAGTTCATCGTTCTGACGTCATCCGCGTGGAGATTGGCGGAGCGCAAGATTAAAAATTGACTACTTGTCTAAAACCCTACAAGGTCTTAGGTGATGTACGGCAAGGCTCTCTTTGCCGGCATATACGAGCATGAGGGCGGGGGCTTGGCGGGGGTGGCAGCGGCAGCCACGTTCCCGGCCAACGGCGCTGCCAAGGCATGCCCCTAGATTAACCTCCGACACGTGAGCGACATAGCCGGAATACATAGTTGTTTAATTTCCCCAGCTTGATCTACTCGGGCACGCCATCCGGCTGAAACAAACCATCCCCCCGTCGAAACATGGCCTCAGATTACGATAAATTGTCCGCTACGTCGTCTTTAACCGGCTTGGAATTGCATGCTTCTCCACAAGGAAGCTTTCCCCCGTCCTGCATTCCCATCTCATAGTGCAGTCCGCCTCTTTAGCCTGCGGCGGTTGTGGCTGCTTGTTTCAGCATGGCCGGTGGGAATTCTCCTTTGCGTGCGCGTGCCACTAAGTCCATCATAGCGGAGATTCCAGAAGGATACAATGCAAGCGTACAAAACCGCGCGACTGCCCGGAGTTTGAGGCCCACACCTGTCTCCATCGTCACTCATTATGCTGTCTACCAACCCCCTTCTCTTGCCGCTCTTCGGCTCCGTTGCGAGCGCCGCCAACCTATGGGCCAGCCATTACTCGGGTACCCTCAACTACCTCACTTTTAGCGGAAACTCCTTGACTCTGAGTGGCTCGACACCTACCGGTAATAACCTGCCAAGCTGGCTCACGTACGACCATGCGGGAAAGGCCATCTACGTTGCGGACGAAATCTTCACTGGTCAAAGCGGGGGAAACCTTGTGTCCTTTGCTGTCGGCAACAACGGTACCGTGAGCTCGCAAAGAAAAGGGCCGACCCCTCAGGGCGTAGTTGCAACAACGCTCTATGGAGGTTCTGACGGGCGAGGCTTTATTGCCAATGCTCACTAGTAGGTCAACATGCTCTCCACATGTCAGCTGATGCTAACCTCAAAACAGCCAAACCTCGCAGCTAACGACCTTCAAGCTGCCGTTGGACGGACAGCAGCCACTCCAGACAATCAAGTACGTTGGAAAAAGTGTCAACCCTTACCGTCAGGAGGCCGCTCATCCCCACCACGCCTTTGTGGACCCAACTGGAGATTTCCTCATTGTACCGGATCTTGGATCCGATCTCATCCGCATTCACAAAATCGACAAGTCTTCGGGCAAGTTGACGGAATGCACCCCCGCAAAGCCAGTTCCTGGAACCGGACCCCGACACGGCGTCTTCTGGAAGCCCTCGGCGAAATCTTCCCGCATCCGACAAGCCGGAGGCAACACGGTTCTCTTCATTGCCAATGAGCTGTCCAACAGCATCTCTGGATGGGCTGTATCGTACCCCTCGGGAGGATGCTTGACCTTGACCCTCAAGCAAACATTGACGCCATACCAAGGCAACGCTACCGCCGTTACCGGCACCAAGGTTGGCGAGATCCACGTCAAGGACCAATACGTCTACATTTCCAACCGAAATGACAAGAAGTTCAATGGTCAGGACTCCATTACTCAGTACACCATTGATTCCACCGGAGGCCTTACGTGGACTGATCTTACTTCGTCTCACGGCACCTATCCCCGCACTTTCGATATCAACAAGGCAGGTGACTTTGTTGCCATCGGCGACCAGACCACTGCCAATGTCGCCATTGTTGCCAGAGATGTCAAGACTGGTAAGCTTGGCCAGAAAGTAGGTGACTTGAGGATTGGTGCCGCCGGCAGACCTGAGAACGAGGACGGCCTGAGCGCTGTTGTATGGGCCGAGTAAGCCGAAAGTATTACAGTAAGCACGCGGCGTGCCTTCGGTACGAGAAACCTATTCGGGAAGCTGGCGGGAAGGCCCGGTTATTGGATAGGATGTACATATCATATTCGTGTTTAAACTTTGGGCTAGTTGAAATCATGAGATTCATGTTCGTGGAAGAATTGTTGTCGGGGCGGAAGGTGTGAATGATGTGGTCCGCCAAGATGCTAAGACGCTAATGAGCATTGATGCTCTCCGTAGTAGAGACTGTATCACTTGGTGCTTTGTACACAAGCCGTGTGCCAAGTCCTACGGCTGAGGAAATGAATCCGTCAGCATCATAATTCCATGAAAGTGGTGTGTACACAAGCAAAGCACAGTCCCTCAAAAACCTGCACGTCCCAATCCTGTTGACTACAATAAAGACTCATAGCCACCTCACTTTATGCCTTACATTACAGCTCACAGCTTTTACAGAGAACGTAGAGGACATGTACTGTTGTGGTTGCTTGTTACCCACAAGCAGAGATCACTGATGGCTAGTCACTGACAGATTCAAATCATTGCGTCCATGGAAGCCAATACTCAGTATACTGACAAGTCTTCCACGGTCGACTGTTCATCAAGTTTTCCTTTCATAACATATTGGTTATGAAAACAAGCGCGATCTGCAGATGACTCCTAAAATTTCATAAGAATTAATGTCAACGAACAAGCACAGAATAGACATGGCGTTTAGACTAGATCCATGAATCATCGATTGGATGGTTTTATACGTACATTGCGAGAATAAATTGAACATTTAACTGCGAACATCCAAAGAGCCAAGTACAAACGCTAAGATCAGACTGCTTCAACAACCACTGTCGCTGCGTCCGCTCATCATCTGCTTGTATGAGAAGCCTATCAATCCGGTTCTAGGTAGGAACATTATCTATTCTAAAGGTCAAGATTAGGCCCACGGCAAGGACCTTACTCTATGATAGCTTTGTATATAGTGCATAGTGTCTGCTTGAATGAAGTGTCTTTTCCTAGGTTGGTTCTTCAGGAAATGATAAGAATGGCCCAGGTTTGGAATTCATTAGCTGAGCTGCACGCTAGAAGATTCCAAAAGATTGCTAGCACATTGGTGATTTTAGTTGATGTTTTTTGATAAAGTACAATATTTTCTAAGAAAACGGTGTATGACGAGGGAAAGCTTGAAGCGACTCATATCAAAAGTCGCGCGTATCATAAAAATTTGCTCATGAAAATACCTGCACCAATTGCAAGTCTGAGAAGAATTATAACACTAAGATTTGTTGTGTGGTAGCGATATTGCTCTCATCCAAATAAGACAAAATTAAAACTCACCAACATGACTTCTACCAAGCATGGCCAATATCCATATTCATTCCAATATCCCTATCAAGGAGGTACCACACTCCCTCGCACCTACCGCAACCCATCCTCCTCTCCTCCCCTCTATCAACCCTCGCTATTCCACTCCGACCATCCCCATCATTCTCTCCACGGCATTCTTACCCACCATGTCCCAAACCGTCACCTTCCTCACCACCTTCGCCCCGCTCCCGCCCTCCACCCCATCCTCCCACGCCCACATCATCAGCGACTTCGCCCACGGCACCTCGACTCCCCACCTCCAAGACGCCATCGTCACTCTCCTCTACAACATCTCACCCAGCACTCTCTCCACATTCCTCGACCGAGACATCAAAGAATTCCGCCTCGTGCAGACACGACGGCGAGGCAGAGATGCAGGCGAGGAACTCGTAGTCATGAAACGAGGATGCAAAGTCATCGTACGAATCTTACTTCCCCCACCCCCAAAATTTGACTTTTGTACACATTTTTTTTTACATTTTTTTCTTTCATACCGTCCGTAGGCAAAAAAAAGTGCGTAATTAATCATACATGCAAAACGCTGACACTTACATCAGGTAGGTCTCGCAAATCACTCCCCGGACCTCTTTGATACCCTCGAGTTCGACAATCTCGTTCGTCTGGAGATTGATGCCGAGGGCGCGTGGAAAGTCATGTATGCGTCGTATCGCGATTACTTTCGCATTAGTTGGGATGATGTGTGGGATGGGATCACGGTGAATCGGGGCTGGGATGATCTCAGTGTGAGGGCTTGGGTGGAGGATCCGAGGGAGGAGAGTAGGAGGAGGTTGGAGAGACTTGCCGATGAGTTGATGCGGGTGGTGCTCAGGGGGAGGATGTGGGAGGAGATTGGGTTTGCGTCGACGCTTGTTACTGGGTAGTAGAAAGAATGAGATGGACGGTTGGGTGTTCGGGATAATGGATTGGATAAGTTCGCGTTTGGTTATGGCAGCTGTATTGTTTCGGTATGGGATGCTGCATTGAGTACCTCAATTTGCTGTTGTTTGCGTGGGTGTATAGAATCTCTACCTGTCCACTTCGATTCCTCAAGTGACAGGAGAATGTATAATGCGTTGCAAGACCCATAGATTTAAAGTTTTTCCGTTTCTTATCAAATTAAATATTTTTCTTAGCAACACGTTCTTTTGGCCGCGTTGCACGATTCATTTCTTGGTAGCTACACATCTTCACTCGGCATCGATCGAAGATTATTGTCTTGTTTTTATCCAGTGATCAGAAATTAAACCATTGCAGATACTGGCCATGTCATATACCGAATATACCCTGTGAGATCTCACCGGTCTCTTCACATCTCATCGTTGTTCACTTGCATCAAAGTGTCACACTCATCACCTCACCTCACCCATCTCATCATTCACCAGTCGACCAGCTCCCCAACCTCCTATATAAACTCAACCCCCCGGCACCTCCAACTCCAAACCAATTCAAATCCCTTACTATCAACCACAAATTCCAATTGAAACTCCCCCATCAATAATGTCCTCCACCATTACTCCCACCGCAATGGACCTCTCCACGCCCCCCGCCACTCCATCCAGCAGCGCCCAGTATTCACCCACCAAACCCTCCCCAGCACCCATCAACAACGAAACCGAAAACTACACTACCGCCTTCCCCTCCCTCCCGCCAACCACACCCGCAACCCACGCCCACATCATCAACCTCCAATCCCCGCCTCCAACACCAACCCTCCAAGACACCCTCGTTACAACCCTCTACCACACCTCCCCAGCAACGCTATCCCACTTCCTCGACCCAACCGTACACACCTTCAAACAAGTACTCGGAAAAAGCGACATAAAGCTTGTAATTTGGCGCAAAGGCGTCGAAGTTTTTGTACGTTACTCCCCCTTTCTACTTTTGCGCCCTTTCTGCTTTCTTCTTCTTCCTCCTTTCGCTTTTGCTTACCAAACCCCCTTTTGAATTTTTTTGTTTCCCCTGCGACGTTTTGTACCCCACCCTGCCCACCGCCAAGACCACAAGCTAATGGGAGAGAGAGAGAGAATGCATATAGATTGGCATGTTTGAAAATCATACGCAACTAAAGACTTTTCGCTTCCTGCACCTTGCGGGTTTACTGGTCGGATATGATGGGAGCTGGCGTGTTACGTGTGTGGCGGTGAATGCGTATTGTGCAACAAGGTGGAGCGATGTTTGGGCTGGGAAGTTTGAGTGTAAAGGAGGTGTGGATGTGATGAGGGTTTATAGGGATGATGGTGAGGAGGAGGAGGGGGTGGAGAGGGGGGTTAGGGAGATGGCTGAGAAGGTGATGGCGGGGAAGTTTTGGGAGGGTATGTGAGGGAGTAAAGGGGGTGAGCATGGGAATTTCGGGTTCGTGGAAAGGAAGTTCGATGACGAGTCTTTCTTTAATGTGGCTATAGGAGCGGTGGCAGGTGTCCAGCGAACAAAGGTACGAAGGGTCCGATGAGCAGGATGTGCGATTCCAAAGGAAGATATCCAAAAAAAGTCTCTATTGGATGCCAGAAATGACGTATAATGATGAGGAAAAAAACATGGGGTGTATATGCAAAACGCCATCATAAAAAGGGACCAACCGTCTATCCAAAACTCAGTTGACCAAGTCATATCCTCAATGCCCCGCTCGTGGTGCAGAGGAGAGAAAAATCCCGTTTTCCCTCAAAATAAGAATAACTCCTTTATTTATCGAGTATCACAACGCCAGACGCAAACATGCCAGTATCCAAACAACGACACAGGAAAAGAAAAAAAAATCACCATTTCCTCGGTCCAAACGTCTCTCCCTTCGGAACTTCCCTATAAGGACAAGCCTGCCAATCGCAGCCCTTTTAAACATTAGCACATCTCCCAAAGCCATAATAGACAACAAGATATCTTACCTGCTTGTAAACCTCGGTACCCCACCACTTGAACCCGCTCATCCACCCAGGATACACGATACCGAAAAAGATAACAACAACACCAAACGCGAGCCCAGAATCCAGGGCAGCACTGAGCATCATATTATACTTTTTCCACCACGCATTACGTCGGTTCTTGATTTCGTAGTTGAACAGGTAGCACACCATTGCCCAGACGGAAAAGTTGAGACCCGTGGCTGGCGGGATCCAGCTGAGGCTGCCAAACACAACAGCAAGATTTACTTTGCTGAGGATGGACTTGCGGTCGCCGCGGGCGAGGTAGTAGAGGATGACGGGGGCGATGGCGCCGACGGGGAAGGCCCAGACGAGGTGTTGGTAGAGGGCACCCGGGCCGAAGAATTTACCCGGACCGACGACGCCCCAGAGAATGCTGCCGTTGAAGTGGACGCGGGCGATGGGGCAGTTGAAACCGTTGATGGCGTCTGGGGTGCAGATGCCGGGGATGTAGTTGAGCATCCAATTGAGCACGCCGATTTGGGTGAGGCTGGATACGATGGTGACGATGAGCTGCAGTTTGAATAGGATTCGTGGGGGGATCTTCATGTAGTGACCGAGCTTGAGGTCGGATGCAAACTTCAAACCCTGCGTCGCGGAGATGTAGCCAAATGTCGTAAATACCATGTTGGCGACGGGACGGCCAGGGAACACAACACCACAGATGAGCTGACAGATGAGGTAGATGCTGCTTTGTTGGTTCGTAATGGCCATGACAATGCCAATCGGGATAAAGAGTACCGCGCCGATTCCGAGTGCGAGCAAGAGACCATACCAGGGGAGATAGACGGGATAGTACTCGACAACGAACATACCTACGGCTGCCATGCTGACACCGGTGAATAAGTACCAAGAAATCGGCACGTCTTCGTATCTTCTCATCAGTCGGTTGTGGACATCCTCGGCTGACAAAAGGTCCTCGACATCCGGCTCAGAGTTTGGACTAGGTCGTTGTGGAAACCCAGCAGGAGACGCATGTCCTGCGTTGTCTTCGGAGCTAGTTGTCAGTGGCTGATAATCAGCTGCTGACTCTTTTCTGATTTCGGCCCATGAGCGACGCCACTGTCTCCAAATATCCTTTCCGTACCAAAGCCCCGTATGCGAGAGCAGAGCGGTGAGGCCGGCGAATTGCAGAGCATAACTGAGCACATATGTGATGGGAAGGTATACTCGGCTGTACTTTCGGTACGCCTCTTCGTCAAACAGAAAATTCTCGGTCAAAATCTTGCTGACGTCATAAGGTTTTCCGCGGTTGTCCCAGACGGCAGAGGATAGAATGGGCATGTAGGATGAGTAGAGAACGTTTTTGTAATCTTCACCTTGTCAGCACCTCAGAAAGGAGGTTGCCGTAGCACACTTACACATTATTGGCGCTGCAATCCACATGACGCCAACGAGGCCTCCAAGAATGTTCATGGCAGCCCAAAACGGCGTAATCAACGGAGATCCAATGTATGCAATCTGTGCCCAATCGAAGGTGACAGGAAATAATCCAAGACCGGATGAGATTCCAAACTGCAATGCATAAGTATGGTTTGTTGTGTTTGTTTGTGTTAATGTTCAACATACCAAATTAGCAACAACAACATTCTTGGGCGCAAACCAAGTGAGTACGTTGAAGTAACTCAACGCAGGGAAGAGTAAGCCAGGTAGGAAGTAGAAAGCGACGGATCCTAGGAATATGCGGACGAAGAACTTGCGGGGCGCAATTGTCCAGCCATCAGCTGGCTTGTTCTCATCTTTGTGCAATGCAGTGAACATGGCTGTAGAAACCAATGTGCTTGGCCAAATCATGCCGCTTGGCCGGACAAGATAGCGTCTGGTGATGCCGGCAAGGGAGTAGCCTAGGATCTGGGTGGAGAGGATGAGCAATACTTGGTACATGATGCCAAGGTCCTGACGGTAGAACTTGACCTGCTCGACAATGACCTGTAGATGTCAGTACCAGAAACAAGCATTTTGCCAGGTTACACACGTCAGTTGCAAAGGCAAAGCCAAAAGACACATTGCTGCTGACGTATACACAACAATGCTCTTTTTCATTCCAGCGGCCTTGGGCAAGCCAAAGGCGTGTGCGACGTGTCCAGCTGGACTTTGCACTTGATTGGGGTGAGGTTGTCTGGACGCATCCATCGACAAAGGTTTCTTCGGGGTCGCTTGATCGCTTAAAGAGTTGGTCCCAAAATAGGCCCATGGGGTGGACGAGTAGTAATGCAATAATAGGAGTAAGGCTAACGCTAGGGTATCGTAGGGAGAAGAAGAGGTTTGTAGAAGAGCCAGCAATGGAAAAGAGGATGGACAGGAACCACATGCGTGGGGTATCAATGGACAGGGAGAGGTTGTCGGTCGCGGCTACGGATGCTCTTACTTGAGCGTAGGGCGAGTTGTCGGAAGGATTTCCCTTCATATCGTGCAAGTCAGCGCCGTGGTCCTCGTCTGAGGCTTCATCGTCGTCTAGCGTAGTGCTTGAAGAGGCAGAGCTGTCAAACAATGGGGCGCCCGCGGTGGAAGGGTCGAGGCCGCTTGCGTTGAATCTTGCCTCGAAGCGGGATTCCTCGTGCCCAGCAGAGGCTACACCAAGCGTTGTGCTGCTACGGCTAGCGTCTCCTGTCCTGCGACGCGACCCAGCGGCGCCCAGTAACGCATCACCATTGGAAAGCCTACTCTTACCCTTTGTCTTTGGCAGGGCCCCAGTTAGATGATTTTGGCCAGGTTCGTCAGGGCTCGAAGAAAGACTGGGCAGGACGCCATATGAGCCTGGCGGTGCGGTCAGCACGTGCTGCAGGGAAACGGTAGTGGGCCAGCTTTGTGCGCCGTTGCTCGTGTGCGCCCATGTAAAGGAGGCGAGAGGCGAGAGGCGAGACAGAGTGGCAATGATACGAGCGCGTCACAAATAATTACTGGCTTACCTGTACCCTGGGCCGGGCTGGACCTCACCAGGAGGGGCACTCTTGACATTGTTTTTGTGAGAGGTTGAGGAGAGTCGTGGGAGCGTTCAGCGGGCAGATCAAGGTCGTCATCAGAGCTGGATTGGGATGTGGGTAAGTGAGTTGCTTTTCCTGGGAGGACGTGTAACTCGACGCTGACAGTGTCGGTCGCAGGCACGGGACGGGACGGGTGGCGCGTGTGTCCGGGAGGATAGGCAGGCGAGCGAGCAGCAAGTGGCAGGAGCGACTCGTGCCCGGCCCCGTCATCCATATGTACTGGGGGGCGCATCCACAGAGTGTCGCCAGGACGGTGCAAGTGGTCCTGTTTGTCACGGCTAGACAGCTTCACGCGGGAGGGTAATCAGATGATCAGATAATATTCCACAGGGCGCCGATGGATTGGGCCGTCATTCTATTCTTTGCACCATCTGATTAGGCAGACCCGCGGCCGAGCCATCATGACGTGAACAAAGGCGGGCCCGCAGCCAATGGCGCGTGCAGCCCCGTTACATTACACGGTTAGATCCGAACGGCCATGTGGGCATGGGGGGCCATCAAACCACTGCCGTGCGCGCCAGCCGCCGCCGCCTGCAGGTCATGGCCTCCTACCTGCATGGCAATGTGCGTCCGGCTATCTATCCATGGCCACAGCGCATCGCCATGTAGCAGCTGTCGCGGTTTGTTTTTCTCTTTCTACATATATAAATCGCCTAGGTTGTAGACGCGTGTTTGTACAGCGCACGCACGCACACCTACCTACATGACTCCCCTCAATGTGACGTAGCCTCTTCTTCCTTGACATGCACATGACCACCTACGCCCGCATGGCCATTGGCCCGAGTCCCGGCGGTGAGGCTCTCAACCATCTTGATAGCGCCCTCGGTGTCGTCCTTGTTATACAGAAACAACCCCTGCAGCGATGCAGTACTTACTGCATCCACGAGGCCTAGCTCTCTGGCCTTGGCCATAAATCTCTGCTTCGCTTCCCCACTTGCATCGAAATCGGCGTAGAACCGATCCCACAGCTGTTCCATCTGGTACTCTGTCGCCTCACCGAGTCGCACAGTCATGTCCACGCGTCCTGGCCTCACAAGCGCCTCGTCCAGCCGTTCGATATGGTTCGTCGTCAAGAAGATGATGCGCTCCTCAGCACTGGCCACACCGTCCAAGGCATTCAGAAGCCCGGAGAATGTCACCGACGCGCTTGCATATCCATCTGCGCCGGGCGTTTTCCGGTTCATAAAGGCAACGTCCACGTCCTCGAGCAGCACGACGGTGCGACGCGGGACCTTGGTCAGCAGGTGGTTCAGCCTGTCGTCGGTGAGGCCCCGCTCGCTGACATTGAGGATGGCAATGTTGAAATCAAGATGACCTGCAACTGCCTGGATAAACGAGCTCTTACCGGTGCCAGGAGGACCGTACAGCAGGTAGCCTCTTCGGTAGGGTATGCCCCGGTCCAGGTACCATTTGCGTGACGAGATGAAGGCCTCCATATCCTCTACAATTCTCTCCTTGACCCCGCGCTCGAGAACGACCGAGTCGAGCGGGCGCTTCCGCTTTGCATCGCCAAACTGCTGCCACATGGTGCCCATTGAGTTGTATATGACCGTCTTGCCCTCGTGTGACTGCTGGTATATTTGGTGCGCCTCGGCGAAGATGTCTTCAAAGACATGGCGATGCGAGTACAGGGTCGTGAGACTGATGGTCTCAAAGGGCACGCCGTCTTTTACATTGAGGCTGTTTCGTTCCCGCTGCCGGTCGACGAGGATGAAGGCGTTGTTGTAGCGCAAGAAATGTTTGCCCGGTCCGGGGACGAAGGAGAAGTGGGCGGCGTGCGAAGGTCCGTCGGGAGGGGTGTATGTTTGCACCTGCAGATGGTGCATGCGCGGGTCGATGCGATTGAGTATTTTGGCGAGCACAGTGTTGTGGGCAAGCGGCCTGGCCCCGGCTTGCTGTGCGCGGTGATAGTTGGTCATCCATTGCAGGACCCAGGGATAGGCATCGTCATGGCGGGTGATTTCGAGGTCGACGAGCATGCGGCGTTTAATGAATGCAGCGCCATGCTGCAATCCTTTCTGGCCCGTCCGCGCCGCAACCCCAAGCGCTGCGAGGCCGAAGCCCTATGGCATGAGTGAGCACACGTCGAGCATGGCAGGCATGGGCGGCAGAGGTCAATTCATACGGCGGTGAAGAAGGGATTATCGGCAGCCTGGGAGAACAGCGATGCTGAGCTGTCGCCCCGGGCAGCAGTCATCTGCCGTGCCAGCTGGTGTTGTGGCGTGTTGGGTTCCATGGGCGGGAGAGAGATTGGCCTGCGCACAAATTTGATAGGCCATGGACGCTAGCGCGGGACGTCCAACTACACACACCAGGGCGCGTGCGCATGTCACACAGCTACGACTCAGCTCCAGCGCCCTGGGCTGCCTGAGACAGATAAGACTTTGTATGCGCACAGCATGTCTGTACATACACATACACATACACACATGTACATGTATACATGTGTGTTTGCATCTGCGCATCCCAATAAAATAAACGTCCTGCGTGGTGTGGCTTGCAGCAAGGTCCAAGAGGCGGTGCAGCTGCATGGAGAATCCGGGGTCGCGGAAGACGATCGCTCTTTCCCACAGCTGCGGAGGGGTGGAGCACTAGGGCGACGCTTGGGCCGACCCCTTCCCCGTTACTGATAACCATGATAGCCGCCTGTGTGCCCATCATTCACCGGTGTTGACTCTTGCACTGACGCCTCTGCCCCCTGGCTGCGAGCCTCAGTCCTTCTTCTCCTATGCTTCATGGCTACCGTAACCATCGGCAGACCCTATTTCGACGCCCTCCTGCGCAGGTATGTCCTTGCACCACTTGGCCGAGACCATGCGTCCCATATGGCCTCTGCTGACTAGACCCATAGGGCCGAATTAGTTAGTACTCGTCCCTGGCCCCGATGCCACCTGCGCTAACCGACACGGCCAGCATGCTCCCACTCAGCATGTCAAGTATGGCACTGATCTCTACAGCAACGTCACCATCAGCAAGGCTGAGCACGACTACATGGTGCGCCCCCTGTGGCACAGCATTGCTGCCACTATACTTTCTAGCACATGCACTAACAGACCGCCAATTCTAGGTTCAAGCACTACGAGAGTACCGTATGTATGCCCCACTCCGAGCCGCATGCTAGCTATAGTTTTACCATTGCCCCCCCCCCCCCCCACATATCACAGAATAGTCTCTCACTTTGCCTAGATCTTCTCAAAAGCGCTCTATTCCGTGGGGGCCTGACGGTCGAGACACTGGACACCCTTCTTCAAGACGAGGGCACTGCCACAAACGAAGAGCCGTTGGGGTACGATTACGAGTCAGAAACTGCGCCCGTCCGAGACAGAACCAGAGCATTGGCAGGCACAGAACACGGCCAACATGCCATCAGTCAAGACGCACACTCGGCAGCATCTCCTCATCAACACCTTCGTGGTTCTGGAGAGACTGGGACTTTTACCTATGGTCCAGAGAGCCAACTAGATGACGATGAAGACGACCAGATCCAGTCCCCGAGTCAGCTCATTCCGCTTCATGCCCAGCGAACTGTACTAATCACAAATCTACCGGAACGCACTACCCACAAAGACTTGGCAAGCATCGTGCGAGGTGGAAGGCTCCTGGACATATTCCTCCGCAACGATCGATCAGCCACCGTCTCGTTTGTTGAAGGTGCAAGCGAATTCCTTGCATACGCAAAGCGTAATGATATATATCTGCACACGAAACGAGTGAGTTGCAGTCTTGTAGTCCTTTGGGTCCTATGCTAACTCCATCAGCTTGAGTTCCGCTGGAACGATAGACAATTCCACGTGCCCTCACACGTATCTACCAAGATCGCCAATGGAGCAACCCGGAACCTCGTAGTACGAAACATTGCAGGAAAACTCACGGCAGATCAGATAAGGGATCATCTAGACCATATCCACAATCTAGTCGTGGTCCACATCTACTTCAAGAACGGAGATGCACACATATCCACCAATTCTATCCACAACGCCCTCTTCGCCAGAACCTGCATGATGTCGCGCACTGCATACAAAGGTGCACGCATTGAATACTATCCAGACGAATGCGCTCAGCCGCTTCCTCAACCTACAAAAGTCTACGCCCAACCTCAACGCACCCCCATGAAACCTGCACCTCTGGTCAACCAATATGCTCTTTTGGATATCGGATCAGATGATGACTCCGAGTCTGATGAAGACGCATATGGAATCCACGGCGTGCAAGTTGGTGGCTGTCGTTTGCCCAATGGAGTAGCAGTATAGGCCACTTGACAAGTAGTTGCTCGCCCCTTCCGGCTCAGTGCAGCTGGAAACTACAGTGGTCTTAATGCACATGCTTGCCCGAGAAGCAAGTCAATTGGGACTAGCCCTCTCTACGGCCCGTCAACCTTGAAGAGGTCGGTGTCAAATTCCGACCACTCTGAGCAGTTCCCAAAGAAAATTAGAGTCGCATAAGATACGGGTAGCCGCTATAAATTTTGCATTACTAGATGGTTTTAGTAAGCGGAGTGGTTGTATGCCTGTCGCTGGGTCAATCTGGCGTGGTAATTCATATGCCTACTCAGAGCGGTAGTTTGGTTTCCTTTTTTTCTCCTGTATCGATACCCTTCAATTTCTGTACCTCTATAGGCGAGACTATGCTCTTAATAATAGATTGCGATAGGCTTTCCATTCTTTCAGCTCCTGCCCAGTGTGGCATGGAGACTTATTTGCTGTCATGTCAAGGATGCCCACTAATGCAGCTCGTTTAGTTTTAGCGACGATTAGCTCTGCATGAGTTGCACGTCACTGCAGCCGCTGTATTATCATGCATATCCCCGCCTTGTTGCGATCAAGAACGCGAAGCTGAACTTGACCCTCACATAACTTGGCGTTGGATCAGACCACAAGATATCACGACGGAACATGGCGCCAATTGTCAAAGTAGCAGTCATTCAACTATATCCAAAAGTACGTGTTGGCTACCCCACCTTACTCCACCCCCACCTCCACTTCACTTTTGATCATGTTCCTGCCATTATGCACAACGCACCGCATGGGCACTGTGGCTGACCTTGGTAGCCTCTGCAACCCGAGCATAATTTCAACAAAGCAGAGGCACTTATCCGCTCTGCAGCTGCCCAGGGCGCGGAGCTTGCCGTCTTGCCCGAATACCATCTGACCAACTGGAAGCCCAAGGATCCAGAGTTTCTGGCCGTGGTGGAAAAGTGCTCGGACTATGTGAAAAAATACCAACAGCTAGCCAAAGAGTGTGGAATATGTGAGTTGGCGAGACATTTTGATTGAGTCATTGGGTGCAGAAACTATAGATCACTAACAAAAGGGTCTCAAAAGGCATTGTCCCAGGCACGATTGTCGAGAGCCACAAGGAGAATGAAAAAGAGCAGGACCGGTTGCTAAATGTGTGCTATTTCATCAACCACCAGGGTAACATTATTGGCAAATACATCAAGAAGAACCTCTGGGGCCCTGAGCGCGACCATCTCACAGGCTCGGGCCGCGACGTGCACGAGGTGTTTGATACGCCCGTGGGCAAGGTGGGATTGCTGATATGCTGGGATCTTGCTTTTCCCGAGGCATTCCGCGAGCTTATCGCGCAGGGCGCAAAGATTATCATCATCCCTACCTTCTGGACACTGAATGATTGCAATGAGGCGGGGCTCAAGCAGAACCCTGCCGCTGAAGCGCTCTTCCTCAACTCGATACTCACGGCTCGAGCATTTGAGAATACGTGCGCTATTATCTTTGCGAATGCGGGAGGGCCGCCGGGCAAGGGGTATGCTGGGTTGAGCCAAGTGACTGTGCCGTTTGTAGGCCCGCTGACAAAGCTGGGAGGCGCCGCAGAGGGCATGAGTGTTGTTGACATTGACATGCAAGTGCTGGAAGATGCGGAAGCCAATTACCAGGTTAGGGCTGATTTAGCAAAGGATGATTGGCACTATGATTACAGACATGGCAAGGGGCCCTTGGGTCGAGGTAAAGAGAAGCTGTAAAAGTCTAGCTAGACTGCGGTATCATTGATGTATATTTTGATTTGCTTCAAGCAGTTCATATATACATGTTGACCAGAAGCTGTCAAATTAAAGACCAAGAGAGTAAAAAAAAAGAGAGAGAGAAACACAGAGACTTGGACAAACGCCTTGATCGCCTGTACCCATGGTATATTCCAAAAACTGGTAACTCCAACATGGGCTTGTCATCGCACACAGGGCCGAACCCTGTTGGTAGCCAGGGGCGTCCATCATAACGTGGCTTCAGCCTGGGGTGGAACGGCTATCTTCGCTGCTGCTGCTGGAAGGATCGCTCATTAGGCCGTAGCCTACGCTGTGTGTGGTCGAGCCGGCCCGATCTGTCGTCCAAGTCTCGCCAATGACTATGACCCTCGTTTTGCCGCCTTCCAAAAAGTTTGCCTCATCCTTGGTCAGCACGGCGGAAATCTCTTTTGAGTAGACACTGCGGTAGAATTCGAGGAAATGGGCCTCGTCCTCGAAGACCATGTCGGAAATGCAGTCAAAGTCGAATTCTTCGTTGAGCACGCCCCTCAGCAGTAGCGGGGGGCGGTCAACGTTGGCAGGGCCGCCAAAGCCTTTCCGGACAATCCGGGCCAGGTAGCGACGGTTGAAGGTGATGGGCCAGCAGTGACTGAGTAGCGAGTAGGCCAATGGAATATGTGTGTTTTCGTAGTGATCTCTGAACTGCTCCGACGTGATGTGGCTGTTGCGCGTGACGAAAAGGACGACCGTGTACGTCATACTGGACGGTCCGGGACAAGGGACTGTTTCTGGATGAATATGCGTTCTGCAAACTGCTTGGGTTTTGGCGGAGAGGACGGGAGGCCCGAGGACAGGGGAGGGGAAGCGGAAGCTCTTGTAGTCGTAATGAGCAGCAGTGCAAGTGTGCGGACTCGGTCGGCCTGCCTGCTATGTACGTACATACATATGTAGGGAGGATGCACCCACCGCGAACCGCCCTATGTGGCTTATAAGGACGCAGGCGCGCCAGCTCAGTGGATGCGAGGCTATACCTAGGGGCGGGCTTCGGACTTGAGGCCGTCTGGTGCCATGGAGTGGCTGCTTTGTTTTTTTGGCGTTAGCTGTCTACCATGCGATGGCAGAGGGAACTCAGGGGCGAGTCAGGCCCGCAGAAGAGCCGGCGCCGGTGCAGCTGCCTATCGATAACGCCCGCCACTAGCACCAACGCCCGCCCACAGAACAGAGAGGGCCAAAATTGCGCCAGGCCAAGGTGGGGGGGAAAAGAGGCCCTCCTCCAAGACGACGACGACGACGACACGACCAGCCCGCCCAGCACACCACCACCACCCGCCACTCCCCCCTCTCCCTCTCCCTCTCCCTCTCCAACCATGAGTCTGCGCGAGCGAGTCCCGCCGCAGTACCACAATGGCGAGCCCGCCCGCCGCGCCCCCGACGACGACTCGGACGTCGAGGAGGAAGCCATGGCCAATGACTACCGCGAGCAGGTCCAATACGATGGCATGGAGGATCTCGACCGCATGCCCTCGATGACCGGCAACCACGACATCCATGCCCAGCTGCAGGCCGCCGCCACGCCCCTCGAGTTCCAGGCCACACTCGAGACCAAGTTTGCCAGCTATGACAGCTACTGCAACCTCTTCCACTATATCCTCAACTCCGAGGGCCCTGTCGACCTCGAGGTCCCCAACTACTACTGGGCCTGGGACGTCATTGACGAGTTCATCTACCAGTTCAACAGCTTCTGCAGCTACCGTCAGCGCGTGGCCCAGAAGAGCGACAATGAGGAGGAGATTGCCCTGCTGCGCGAGAACCCAAACACGTGGGGCTGCTACAGCGTCCTCAACGTCCTCTACTCGCTCATCCAGCGCTCCCAGATCAGCGAGCAACTTGCCGCCATGAAGCGCGGCGAGGATGCTAGTCTGTATGCCGGCGAGTACGGCAACCGCCCGTTGTACAAGATGCTGGGCTACTTCTCCATCATTGGTCTTCTCCGCGTCCACTGCCTGCTGGGTGATTTCAGCCTGGCGCTCAAGACGCTCGATGACATTGAGCTGAACAAGAAGGCCATGTTTGCCCGTGTCATGGCCGCCCACTTCACCACGTACTACTACGTCGGATTCTCGTACATGATGATGCGCCGCTACTCGGACGCTATCCGTATGTTCAGCCACATTCTCGTCTACGTCTCGCGCACAAAGAACTTCCAGAAGAACGCCCAGTACGACTCCATCACCAAGAAGAACGACCAAATGTACGCCCTCGTTGCCATCTGCGTCGCCTTCCAGCCCACCCGCCTCGACGACACCATCCACACTGCGCTGAGGGAAAAGTACGGCGAGCAGTTCAACAGGCTACAGCGCGGCGGACCCGAATCCCTCCCCCTGTTCGAGGAGCTCTTCCGCACCGCCTGCCCCAAGTTCATCAGCCCCACACCTCCCGACTTTGACAACCCAGAGATCAATATCGACCCCATCGAGCACCACCTTCGAATCTTCATGGACGAGGTCAAGAACAACATGATGTCGCCCACAGTCAAGAGCTACCTCAAGCTCTACACCACCATGGATCTTAAGAAGCTCGCTGGTTTCCTAGAGGTTGAGCCGGAGAAGCTGAGGTGCTGGCTGCTTGTCAACAAGCAGAGGAGCAGGCAAATACGGTGGGCCGAGGGCGGTCTCCTGGATGGCGATGTTATCCAGGCCAGCGATCTCGACTATGCCATGGAGGGTGTAAGTAGAATCTGTTTTGAAGCTAATGATAACAGTACTAACAACAAACAGGATCTAATCCACGTTTCCGAGGCCAAGGTCGGCAGGAGGCTCGTAGACTGGTACCTCCGCAACCTGGCGAGGACGTACTAGGAGGGCGGGAGAGAATTTAGACATGAAATATTCAGATTTCGAAACCTGTTCAATAGAGCATTGCGACTTGGAGTTGGAGGGTTTCACGGCGTGCACATTTCAAAAAGCAGGATTTTACTTTTGCGAGATGCGGAATACGCTCTGGCAACGGGGAGACGGAATTGGCTCCAGGTTGTAGGGTATCCCATGGCGGGATGACGGTGCCCGCCCGCGTGTGCTGGTCGGGCCGATGGAAGGAAATGACTACGTCTAGGTAGAAGTAGGCGAGTGCCGAGACAGATGAATACCAAACAAAGCGTTTATGATTGCAATGCGCGTCTGGTGGGATTGGGATTGGGAGTGAAGTTGCGGTGCCTTTGGTTAGAGAAGCAGAAGGGTCGCAACAACATGACGTGCCGAATTTTGTCGGACTGCGCGATGGCTTGCAGCGGGGGATGGGTGCTAGCGCCCTGGGTTAAAGAGCATTTGCATCTGAGCAGGCATCGCTTCTACTCGACCAACCTCAGCCAAACAAGATCGACGAGCAGGCACCGCGTAAAACAAACGTGCCAGGAGCACGCACGCCGGAAAGAACATGGGGATCAAGTGAAGCTCCTACCCCCCCGCCCGTCTAGGTCGCCCACGCCGCCCATGGCCTTTTTCTATTGCCCGATGCGCCTGGCACCTGGCTAACAACGACCCTCTGTCATCACGATCGCCCCTGTGCACACCGACTCGAAATCGACTCCCTTTTTCAGTCGACCGCCTGCCCTTCCGGACAGCTGCTGCATTGTTATCTACCGTGCTTGTGACTACGGCGGGGTAAATCAATCAAGACACCACCTCTCTCCACTCTTCAACCAAAGCAACCGCACCACACGCGCCGTGTGAGCCTCCACTGTCCACAATGGCCCTCGACTCAACCACAGTACCTGGAGCCTCGCCCACGAGCAATCCGTCAAGCGCACAACCGGCCTCTGGTTCGCTCTCCCGCCAGACATCCACCCCAGCATCTCGACGAGCCTCGCAGATATCCCCAATGGGTCCTCCACCGCTCCCTCTCGCATCCCCAGGCGGCACCATCCCGACATCTTCGCACCCGCACACGCACGCTTTCCCACCCCTCAGCCCAGGACCCACCAGCTACATGCACGCAACCACCTCAGCCGACTCGGACGCTTCGAGCGTTCCCATGCGGCACCCTCGCCCCATGACAGCCGCCGAACTGCACCTCGAGCTCGAAAAAGAACAAGAAGCCGTCGTAAACCGGCTCACGCGCGAACTCTCCGCCCTCCGCGCCCACTCCGCTTCGGTCGCCTCGACAACCTCTTTATCCAGCAGCGCTGCCGACTCCTCCATCGCTCACGTCGACGGCCTCGTTACCCCCGGTTCAATGCATCCGACGTCGTCGCGCCGCCACCGTAGCTCGTCGAGTGTGTCGCGCGGTGCGAATCACACTACTGCTGCGGGGGCGGCGGCGGCGTCGGCGCATAGGTATTCTGTTTCTTCGCAGCAGACGGGGGCCTCGCGGTATGAGGAGGTTGCGGCGCAAAAGGCGGAGTTGGAGGAGGTGAAGAGGGAGAATGAGGGGTTGAAGGAGAGGATTAGGGAGTTGGAGAGGTTGATTAGGGAGGGGAATGTTGGTGGTGGTGCTGGCGGTGCTACTGGGGAGGAGAGGGGGAGGAGTGGGAGAAGTGAAGGGGGTAGTAGTATTGGTTGTGGAGGATGGAAGAGAGGAGATGGGGTTTTGGAATGAGGATTGATATGAAGTCATGGTCTATTGAGCAGTCTTTCCTCTCTCTCTTTTTCTTTCTTTTTGTTTCTCTTTTTTATTCCTTTTCTGGGGAAGTAGGGAGGAGAGATAGAATACACATTACATACTTTTCTTTTCTTTTCTTTTTTGCCTTACCGCTAAATGAATTACCTCGATAACACACACACACACACACACAGATACTCACTCCCATTACGTCCTATCGAAATGTCAAGTTTATCAAGTTTATCAAATCAACCTCAGGCTCCTCCTCCTCTTGTGTTTTTTTTTGCTTTTCTCCCCAGTGGGGGCCGCGCGTGCCGGCGCGGGAACGGGGGAGTGGCGGGAAGGATGATGATCTACGGCATGCATTCATGCATGCACTTCACTTCACCTTTTTGCAGGTTGTCATGGTGCATATGTAATGGGTGTTTGTAGTAATGATAAAGGCTGCAGCCGCAGATGCAGATGCAGATGCGTATCCTAGTGTCGATCTCTATCGTCATTTCCTGGACTCCCGTGTGCGTTGTGTGTGTATGTGTGTGGAGGGTTGATGATGGTGGTGGCGTTTCTTTTGAGCCCTTTTTTTTTCTTTTTCGGGTTGTTAAGATGGAGGGTGCATGGTTGGATGGGTGAAGGGAGGGTGTACGTCATACGGGCAAAAGACGATGGTGGGATGAGGGAAGATATATCTTGATGTTTGCATCCAAGTTGATTAAAGGGTATCTTTTTTTTCTTGTAAATCATTTATCTGTTTATTTTAAGACTTTTTGGGGGGTTTTGTAGTTACTACGCTTGGGTATTTGAAATTTTCGACGACTTGGACAAAAAAATATCAAGAAATACGGGATTTCGCAATACTACACTTGCCGCAGAAAGGATAGGAAGAGAAGAATGTCTTGTCTATCTACCATCCGCTCCATCTTCCAATCAAAGAAGAAGAAGATCAACCCCCCATTCTTGACCGAAAAACCTGGTATGTCCCCTTCACCCCTTCTTCCCTCTGCTTCCAACTAACACAACCAGTTAATCCCCCATCCACTTCCCCCCGCCCCTCCGTCTCCACCTCCACCCAAACAAGCACTCTGTTGCCCAAACCACCCCTACATACCGTCCCGAGCGCCATAGTCTCCGCGACAGAAAAAGGCATGATATCCGCATCTTTGTGTTCAGTATCGCAATCTCCCTCTGCACCGACATCTTCATCAACAACCACACAAACAACATCAGCGCCGGTGTCATCCCCATTTTCTGGTTTCCCGTTAGCATCACCGTCGCCATTATCGCTGTCGTCATCGGAGTTGTCTCCGTTTGTTCCATCATCACCTGTATCGCCCGTGTCAAAGTTTGAGGGGGGAAATGGGGAGAAAAGGGAAAGCGAGAGTGTAAACAGCACCACAACACTAACGCGAGGTGAAGAAGCTTGCGTTTCGGGACAGAGTAGTAGACGGACGAGTGTGAGGTTCAAGGGTCTAGATGTATGATATTCTTTCTTTTTTTTTCTTTCCATCGTTTCATTGAAAGCGTAGGCGTAAGCGTACGCGTTAGTAAGAAAAAACGTGGTGGGCGTCTTAATCCTTTACTACTCCATCATATCCATAGTTCAACGCTCATACTCTCACATGTACCAAAAACAAAAAAGAACCCTGAAATATCCGCTTTTTGTCAATCCTCTCTTCACACTCTACCACTCATTCTCTGTAAGAAAAAGGGAAAGCCTGATGGCTTTTGAATGTATGTGCTTAAACGATTCTCCTCGTCATCTTCCTGTTCTCACCGAGCCGCTTCGCCTTGAGGGCATCGCGTCTCCGCTTCTTCCACGCACGGTTCAAATCACCGCGATTCTCCCAGAACCATTTCTTGAATTCGCTTTCGGGCTTTGCTGCTTCCCCAGCCTCTCCGTCCGCAGTAGCACCTTCATCTTCCTCAGTTACGTCAGCAAGCTTGCTAGCATTCGAGCGTGTGTTGAGGGAGAGCTGGTGCTCGGCGTGGACATCGAGGTCGCTGTCGTCTTCGTCATCGTCGCGTTCTTGGCTATTGCGGCGCCAGTCGAAGGAGAAGCGGCGGCCGATGGCGGCGGTGTCTGGGGTGGGGGCTGCACTGCGGAGGCCTCGCCATTCGATGTCGCGTTGGGTGTAGGGGGTTATGGGGGCGTCTTCGATAGGTTGACCAGTGGCTTCTGAGGCATCGACATCGGCATTGTTGTCGAAGAAAGTGAAGGATGTGTCGATTGGGTTGAGTTTTTTGGTGGGAGTTGTGATGGAATTGTCGGTGGGCTTTGCGCGCTTGAACAGGGCTTCAAGAGGGTGGACTTCTTTTTCGGCAGGTGCTGCGGGTTGGCTCTTTTCGGGGGCTTTCTTGCTCTTGACGGCCGACGGTGCAGGTGAGGTGGCTTCTGATTCTTCGGCTTCCGACTCTTCAGCTGACTCTTCCGAGTCCGAGTCTGAAGAATCCTCGTCTTCAGATGAGGAAGAAACGACAGACGACTCTTCAGACGAAGATTCAGACGAAGATGGCGGTGGCGTAGCCTTCTTCTTTTTCTTCGGTTCCTTTGTGGCTTTTGGCGTAGAAGATGGCTTCGACGTCCCATCAATCCATGCTTTCGCAGCCTCCGAGGGCGCATCTACCAGTTCCAGAGCTCTTCTGGCTTTCGCCTTTCCAGTTTCTGGCTCGACCACAACACCATCTTCATCCACCCATCCCAGACCATTAACATAATCCACTGCAGGTTTCTTGGAGATTACAACATCCGCCTGCTTTAGAAAACTAGGGGTTTTGGTGTTCTTCTCAAACTCATGAACAACAACCTCTGTAGATCTAGACTTGTTCTTTTCCTTCTTCTCTTTCTTGTCCTTCTTCTTGTCCTTGAGTACAACCTCGGTCGCGGCAACAGGCGTCAGCTTCGCCTTGAAGAGCAGCTCCGGCTCTTTGGTGTATTTGGAATGCTTGCGCTCCTTCTTTGCCTCCTTGTCGCTCTTATCCTTCTTATCTTTCTTATCTTTCTTGTCCTTTTTGGTCTTGGTCACTGGCTCAGTCCAGCCACGCTTGACCTTTCTGTCGTCTGGTAATTCGACGCCCTCCAGGACCCCCTGTTCTTTCTTTTTCCGCTCCTTCTTCTCCTTCTTCTCCTTCTTCTCCTTCTTTGCGCGTTTCGACGGCCTGTCGGCGTCGTCCCGAGCTTCCTTTGCGGCCTCTGCTTCTTCGCGCGCCTTGCGCTTCTCTGGCTTGGCCATTTCTATGCGCACCTTTGAGCCCTTGAGAATCGTGCCGTTGAGCTTCTTCTTAATCTTCTGTGCTTCTACCTCGGGTAGCTCTAGGTAGCCGAAGCCTTTTTCGGGAAAGGTCTCGACGGTGTGGTAGGAGATGTTTTGCGCAAGAGGTAGGACTGAAGGGGCCAGGTAGACCTTGAGCAGATCGGGGCGGAAAGGCGTGATATGTAGGCGGACAGTCTTGCTTTCGGGTTGCGCTTGGGGAGAGTTAGGCGCCTGTGCGTCTGGCATTGAGGCGCAAGTTGGCGCGCGTGCGACAGGGTGTAGTTTTGGAGTCGGCAGAAGGGCGCCAGGCGTCAACAAGAAGAGAGGAGGCAAGTTCCAGACCGCCGCCTATACGCGTGGTGTTTGTGTGTCGGAGGTGGAGGGGAAAGGAAAATGCTTAGCGTGACATGGACCCGATTGTCTGGCGCTAGCGTAGACGCGGGCGGAGGTTTGAAGCTCCACTCGACCCGAAGATGGTCGCCATCTCGACATCACGTTACTCGGCGCACGAGAGTCGGCTTAGCCTGTGTCTTGCGCCCATTCTTTGCATTATCAACGATATTCCCTTGAATTACACAACATGAGGCGCCCGCCATATCTCCTCTTTCTCCTCCTGACCTTCCTCTCCTCCCTCTCCGTCTCCCTCGCCGCCTGTAAGCCACGTTTACTACTTGTCCAGTTATTCGAAACTAGCTAAGCCCGTCACCAGCCCCGACGTCCTTTTGCAAGTGCACCTGTTTCGGGAACAGCACAATCGTCGCCCTCGACGCACCATCCGCTGCTAAGAAGCCCACGCGCCATGTTGAACCCCGCGCATCCAAGAAGACATGCAACGACTGCAACCGCCAGTTCTGTCTTGGATACAGCTTTTGCACTGGAGAAAAGGAGGAGAATGTCCTGACCACGTGTTTCCAGAGGGACTCTGCCAAGGATCAGGCCGTCGTCTTCATCTTCATCGGAGCGACACTGGGGCTGCTGGGTTGGGCTGGGCTCCGGCCGTGGATTGAGGGGTGGAGAGAGGCATGTATCCGTCTGAGAACCGCGCCGAACTGATGCTGACTAAATACAGCGTACTGGAGAACGGCGAAGCTACATGCCCATGGCAGGGCAAGGCAATCAGTAAAAGCGGCAGACTACAAGTCGATGTTCAAACATGCGTCATTTATGCGGCATAGATACAAAACGAGATACCCCAGTAGACAAAAGACCCTAGAGACATGCACAAACTCCATATGCATACATCTAGTGTGACAGCAACATACAGCCTCAAAATGTATAGTAGTACATGAAGGTCATCAAAACCCCCTCACATGGTATTCCCCCCCTCCCCACACTTTTTTACTCCTTCTTGGATCCTCCCGTTATCCATCCAAACCAGCCCTTGCCGGTCGCCTCGACCTTGTTGACTGCTTTCTCAGCAGCATTATCCAATGGTCCGCCTACAGTCTGTGTTGATGGCGCTGGGGCTGTGTATGATGTGTCGTTTGCCCTAGCCTCCTGTACTGCAGCGGTAATGCCCAGATTTGAGTTTCCTTGGGCTTCTAGTCGCTTAATCTCTTCCACAGCTAGCCTTCGCTGCTCGGCAATGGATTGGTCCTCTTTCCAGTCGCCATGCAGCCACCATAGCAGCTTGGAGGGTGCTTTCCGCTCCGCCTTCTTCTTCTCCATCAATTCCTGTTCCTCGGCAATACCTGCGACAAGCGCAGCCTGTGCTGGAGACGCAGTCCCGGATGCGACGGCGGAGCGTGCGGCTTCGAGGATCCTGGCCTGTGTGCGCTCTTCTTCGGCAAAGTAGATTGCGCGTTTCCGCCGGTTGTAGACAATCATGTCACCTATTGAGAAGACAGCGAGTACACCAACGCATCCTTCATAAAATGTTAGCATTTGATTGTAGCGATTCAATTGGGACAATCCAATTGCCTTCTGGGAATGAGACATACCAGTTGCAAATATCAATCCATAGACGGTAAACCGATGCGCCGCATCTGCTGCCATTCTGCCGTAAAGATACATGTAATCCCACCTCGTCACCTGTGCCATCTTTGCCCTGTTCGCTGCCTCTCGTAACCGCTTGACTTTCTGCTGTGGAGTTTCATTTTTCGGCGCTGGATCGGCGAATTGTAGCGTCGTTGCCCGCCCGCCGGGACGTGTGTGCGCCCATACTCCAGTGGCCGTGAAGCGTGTCGAGTCCTTTGGTGATTTGGACATTGTGTGGGCGGCGGTGGACGCACTCGAGTGTGGGAGTGGCGTGGGGTGGTGGGAGCGAGGATGCCGTCAAGACTTGCGGAGCGGGAGGTCGAATGATTCGACGATTTCCAAAAGTTGAGATGGACTAGGGTTGGATGCGGAGATTTCCGCCCTGTTCCCTGTCTCCACCCAACCAACCTACACCTATCGTGCAGCGCTACTACTATAAACACGACAAGTTGGATTGTCACGCTATTTTTTGGTCATTGACTACAAGTTCCTTCAAGATAGGATTGCCGGGCAGTTCTGCAACACAGAATGAGTGGTCTGGGCTGGAGAGTGCTTCTTTCTCTTCCTTGCCCTTGAAACAGGCGCAAGCAATACGCGCTATGCGCCGTCACTCACGCATTGAACCCGCACCACACCCACGCTTTGAGAGGCTGTAAATCCACTCTAGACTTGCTCATTCAGACACTCAACTTTGTACCGCAAATATGGCGCAGGACGGGCAGCAAAATCCAGATCTTGCCGCCATCTTGGCCACGCTCGCAAGCCTGCCTAAGCCGGAGGCTCAGCCGTACCAGGAACAACAAGCGTATGAACAGAATCATAGTTACCAAGGGTATCAGGACCCCCAGCAAAGCTATCAACACGAGCAAACCCATCAATACCAACCGCCACCTGACCCCCGTCTTGCTGGTCGTCCAGCGCCCCAGCACCGACAACCACCTCCCAAGCCTCAAGACCGGGTCTCTTCCCCACTCATCGATCCCTCAACCATTATAGAATGGAAGCAGGGTCTCCGTTGCGTGAGCAAGATTGCTGCACAAAACCCCGATTTTGCTCCCGCTGTTCGCAAGGTGTGACATACATCCTCTCCATCTTCTGTACTAAGCGCTTACTATATGTACTAGTTGATGAAAGACCAAGAAGCCAACGTCAAATCCTGGGAAGCCGGCCGCAAGAAACTCATCGAAGAACAAAAGTTTCAGCGCGAGAATGAGCGCACGCATCGAGCTGCTCTGTATGCGCCTTTCCCCATTCTTTCTAACATTCCGACTAACATATCTCAGGTCACTACCTGGCTTGCTAGAAGGCACAGCACTCCTCCGCGTATGCTCCCCACTCCCCCTATACAATCTTCCCAGCAATTAACAGCAACTAACCTCCCCTCAGACCCCCGAGCGCGAAAAAGAAGAACTAGACCAATACGACGCAAAAGTGTATCGCGCCTGCAAAGCAATGGTCGACTCACAGTCTTCATCGCTCAAAGTCCTCGGCGTTCCTTTTTTCGGTGTCAAACCATATCTAGTGCTAGGGGCAAGTTATGATCCTATGGAAGTTGTGGATTCATCAACGGTGGCTGTGGGAGGAGGGGGCAAGATTACGAAGGAGAGGCTGTTGGAGCTGCAGAGGAAGATGCTGAATCATCTTATGGAGTTGTATGGGGATTGAGGAAGTGGAGGGAAGGGGAGGGTTGGACGGGTGGTTGTGGAGTATATGCCGCGGGTACAAGTGATTGATAGATGGGAGTAATTCGATTAACATGGATTTCCTATGTCGTTGAGAAGATTTCGTATCTAATGCTTTATTAAACATTCACCCACCCATACTCTCATGAACAATCCTACTCAACCCCCATCTCCCTACCCTAACTCCCCCGCCCTCACCGTACTATCACGCTACGCCCCCATCAACTCAACCGACTCCACCTTCTCTCCTTACATCTCCACAGCCTCATATCTACTCTTCACCTGCTCACCACTCTTTTTCCCGCCAACCAAGCCTTGCATGCTATGTCCTGAGTCGTTTTTAGAAGCAGCTTTACCACCCTTACATCCTTTCCATCGTATAAGCAGCACACCAAGAACCGTGAGGCAGATTACGACTATGGCAGCTACGGCGCCGCCGCTGATGGCGCCGATGTTTGAGGAGTGGAAAGATAAAGAGAAGGAGGTAGAGGCTGATGGGTTTGGAGATTCTGCGGGAGAGACTGGTGAGGTGATTAGGCTAGCAAGGAACGAGAAGGATTGAGATGTCGTCGTGAATGTATCCACGTAGTTTGTAACTGCACGCAGCGTTTCTGTTCCCCCTTCTGGTGCCGCACGCGATGTACAAGTAATCCTGATCGGATCCATCATTTATCAGGAGTACTGCGGAGCATGCTCGACAGTTTGTACTGTAAGTGCGATTGTTTTGTTTAGCAAAGTTCTATCAAATGAAATTATATAGGGATTAGATTGCTGGAAGTTTGTACTGATCAGGTGGTAGTAGAGACAGTAGTAGTGCTTTCTATTTCATTGGACACCCTGCCACAGCCTGTTGTACAGGCGACGCTGTCGAAACAGAAACCTACTAGGCTGCAGCCACTGGATGCCGTTACGGGTGTTGGGCAGAAGCCCCATAGCCCATGTGCGGTGTCGAAGTAACAGTCGTAGCCTGTATTTGCTACTCGGGGCTTGTTGGGGCTGCCGTCTACGTAGCCACAGGTAGGTATTTGTCTGGCACCTTATCGTTTGCTGGGTACCGGTGTATGTGGGAGGATTGGGGGAGAAGTGATTCTGTGGTGTATCGTTGCAGCGCTGGGAGACATGGGATTCAAAACACACAAAAGGACTAAGGATGAGACTAAGCTTCTGAACATAGCTACTTGGGTGAGTTACAGAGTGGCAGAAATGAAAATTAGAAAGGGAGAGGACTAGATACACAAGTACATGGATGTCGGTGATACTACATGGCAATCAAGGGCTTTGGCTGCGCGATCTTAGCCGTACCGGCATCTGTCGTCTCTCCAGCCTTGTCATCGCCACCACAGCCTTGCTGGAATTGCCTAAATGGTAATGGGACGATATTCAATGAATTCAGCCATTCCTGGTTGTATGTTCACTTTGTTCCCAGGCCTTGCTGAGTTAAGCTGTTTTAAAGAAATAAGTAGGGAGAGATTATCTCCATTAAAATGCCTTTGTATGCGCATGCTGGATACGCCGGGATGGATACCACATCTCAACTCTGAAAAGACTGCTAAGAACATGGCTGCCGTGTAACAACTATTACCCAGTACGTGTCATAGATTGCATCGCAGTGTATATAAGCATAATGCGGCAGGGCGGATGGTGATTGGTCAGAAATCCGTGAGGGCTGATTCGATCTCACTAAGCGCCCATTCCTTCACATATGACGCAGCCGCCTATCCCCACTAGTCCCGTTCCTAGGGCGCGTGGGATGCGGCTCGATCGCTCTCACTCTTGTCGGCCTTGTTTGTTTCTTTATCAACAGCCAAGGTCCCCAAGTTTACCAGAATATCCTCCTCCTCACCACATTAACTTCTAAATTACACTCTTTTTTATTTCTGGCGGACCACCCATCATGGCGACGCAGCGGAGCATGCGGTCGCTTCTGCAGGCCGTCGCATTGCTAGTCGTGGTCTTTGTTCTCATCACAGGAGTAGGGATTTCCCAGTATGGCGACAGTCTTCCGAGGATCACGTTCAGCCTATCCGGAAATTCAGATTCAAGCGTATCAGGTAGGAAACATTCCGGTTTAGCGTGTTTCTATACTGACGCTTACAGCGAAACCTGAAGAAGCCTCTAAAGATCAACCGACACATCCGCCGGGCTCAACAAAAGGCAATGCCACTCTACAAGCACAAGCGCCACCATATGTCCGCGCAATCATGAACCCTACAGACGTGACATTCCCACGTCTGGAGTGCCCACAGCCAAACCTCGAGCGCTATAATTACCTAGGGCGCGCGTCGGAACCCACAATCCATGCGCAACTCCCAAGGTACTTCTTTGCGCTCGACTTGCATCAATGCGTTGATCTTCTTCCACGACTCATTGGCTCAATTTTAGAAACCATGCTGTTTCTTGGTCCACCAAACTGCGTACTATCCATAGTAGAAGGGAGATCGGATGATGGCACTCTTGAAGTGCTTGATGAACTACGTTCCAACATGCAACTTCTAGGAATCAAATACCACCTACAGTCCAGCGACATCAACCCAACGGCCGAAGGAACCGATCGCATTGAAGCGCTTGCAGAGCTCCGAAACCTCGCGCTTAAAGATCTTGTCGAGCACCCAGAACATTACGATAAGGACACCACCGTCATATTCTCCAATGACATTTCGCTTTGTATGGAGGACTTTTTGGAGTTGATCCATCAGCGCAAGTTCCAAGGAGCCGACCAAACCTGTGCCATGGATTGGACGTATGTTGGCGACAATCCAACATTCTACGATGTCTGGATTGCTCGCGGCATGACTGGCGACTTGTTCTTCAGAATCCCCGAAGACGACAGCTTGGGCTTTGCATGGGATTTATTCTGGAACGACCAAAAGTCAAAGTCGCGACTTTCTACCTGGAAACCTTTTCAGGTGTTCTCGTGCTGGAACGGCGTGACAGCGTTCACTGCAAAACCAATTATGGAGAAGAAGATCAAGTTCCGGGCACATATTGAAGGAGAGTGTTTCCAGGGAGAGCCAAAGCTATTTGCCAAAGACATGTGGTTTCATGGCTATGGTAAGATCGCTGTGGTACCGAGTATTAATGTGGAGTATAGTGACGAGGCGTCGAAGAAAATTAAGGCGCTGAAGGGATATACTTCTAGTCACGTTGAGAATGAAGACGATGATATCAAGATTGACTGGGAGACTTCACCGCCGGAGCAGGTGAAGTGCATGCCTGAACATACTCATCAGTTTTTCACACCCTGGGACGAGGGATTGCGATCGAATATCTCGGTGCACAGGACATAACATGTAATATCTGTAAAACATAATCAATAATGATACCTTTTCCAACGAAGAAAAGAACGTATACCACCGCTTGGATAAAGTGTCGGAAATTGGAAATCATCACTCCGACTGACCTGAACGTCCCATGAGCCTACATCTCATCATGCATATGCACATGTGAGAAGCCCGCTATCCGATACATGCACGTCCTAGAACTTCCTTTGATCCAGTCCTATAAGCGTTCTCGATCCTCTAGTTTCCCTAAACCAGCATTCCGCATGTATCCCTATGTGAGTCGACTCCGCATTAAAGATCCTTCAGGCCGGACACAACTGATTGGACAAGTAACCCAAAATGCCATTTTCGGTTGTGTTCAAAATCCCATGTGTAGTGAAAGTAGCTAGACAGGTGGGCCGATAGGCAAACCTAGAATCTCCATGTGATAAGAAAGTCAGACAACTGTCGTGATAACACCAAAACAAAAGTCGTTGCACTCTTTTGTTACGTATCCGCATCAGTAGATTTCCTGCACCTTTATCAATTTGAATTTGCCAACGCACCCTGTCCTCCCTCACCCGCATAACGCAAGTCCCAATCCTTCAAGAAAATCAAAGCATCTAACCCCATTCCCGGGAATGACCACTTTATCCCCCCGGAAATACCCAAATCGGGCATCCCGGAAAGCGCTCCCTCCGACACCCCAAACTCTATTTTTTGTACTTCTCGGGGGAAACGGGTGGTTATGCGGGGTAAGTAGTGTCAATGATCTTCCCCAGTACTTACCCCGCAAATTAGTAGACATAGCCGAGTTACTACAAGCTATGAACGCGTAGTGCAAATCGCGTGTGGCGTTAGCCCCTTCTCCCCGGGGGAAGCGACTCCGCTGGCAAGACTCGTGCAAGTGAGATGATGACGTTTGGATGGCCGATGGGTAGTTTGCGGGCAACCGGCTGGAAGGGATACGGGGTGGGATCGACGGGGGTCTCGACGTGTGTGCATGAAGGAAAGCGGATAGTAAGGCCTGGTTATCGGGCGAGAGATGGGGGCGTGGAAGGATGGGTGGGTGGATTGTCGATCTTCTGGGATTCGTGCAGGAGGGGTATGTCGTACGTTTGCTCCGCTTATATATATGTGTGGGTGTTCGCCGAGGGCCTAGGTTGTTAATTTGCCTCTTCTTATCCCCGCATCAATTGAGCTTTGATCACTGAGATTTGGTTATCGTCTTTTGAATTTGAGTATTTTGTCTGCGACCATGGTGCACTTTCGAACGGATATCGGGGCGACGAATGAGGCGGCAGATCCGAACAATGAGAACTATGCCAAGGAGCTCGAGACTGATGTGTTGATTGTAGGTGCTGGCTTTGGTGGCATTTACCTGATGCATAAGCTTCGTCAGCAAGGGTTCAAGTGCAAGATTATGGAGGCTGGATCGAACATTGGTGGTATCTGGCATTGGAATTGTTATCCTGGTGCCCGCGTCGACTCACAAGTTCCTATCTATGAGTATAGTATGCCGGAAGTTTGGAAGGTAAGTGTGGATTTTGATCCTCTTATTTGTGTGTAAGCTGACAGATATCAGGACTGGACTTGGTCGTGCCGGTACCCCGGCACAGAAGAACTTCAAAAGTACTTTGACCATGTCGAGAGGAAACTGGATGTAAAGAAAGACTGTGCTTTCAATACAAGAGTGGTTGGAGCACACTATGACAAGCCGTCTTCAAAATGGATAGTAAAGACCGAGGATGGCCGAATAGCACGCTGCAAGTATTTTCTGCTAGCGCTCGGCTTCGCAGCGAAGCGACATTTCCCAGACTGGCCAGGCATGGATAAGTTCAAGGGCGAGATCCACCATTCGAGTTTCTGGCCTGCGTCTGGAGTAGATGTCAAGGGAAAGCGTGTTGCGGTAATTGGAACTGGGTCGACGGGTGTTCAAATTGCTCAAGAGACTTCCAAGGAAGCTGCCAGTATAACGCAGTTTGTCAGGACACCAAATCTCTGTTTGCCCATGCGACAAAAGCTTCTAACGAAAGAGGAGCAAGAGAAGAGGAAGCAAAGCGAGTACGAGGAAGTCTTCAAGTATAGATTGACGAGTTTTGCCGGATTTCAGTACGACTATGTTCAGAAATATACCTTTGACGACTCACCAGAGGAGCGCGAGGCATTCTATGAGAAGATTTGGGAGAATGGTGGTTTCGAGTTCTGGCTGGTAAGTGATTCACATGCGAAATATATTGATTTGAAACTTACTAGATTTTCTAGGCAAACTACAAAGATCTCCTATATGACAGCAAAGCCAACCGCGAAGCCTATAACTTTTGGGCGAAGAAGACTCGCGCACGGATATCAGACCCCGAGAAACGTGAGATTCTCGCGCCACTGGAGCCCCCACATGCCTTTGGCACCAAGCGACCGAGTCTAGAACAAAACTACTACGAGATGCTTGACAAACCCGAGAACAAGGTCATCGACGTGAAGAAGACGCCCATCAAGGAGATCAATGAAAAGGGAATCGTGCTCGCCGATGGTACGCTCCACGAATTCGACGTGATCGCGCTCGCCACCGGCTTCGACTCTGTAACCGGAGGTATCAAAAATATGGGTCTAAAGGACGTCGACGGTGTCGAGCTGTCAGAGAAATGGAAGAATGGTACATACTCGTATCTGGGCATGACAATAAGTGGTTTCCCGTAAGCAAACCCCCTTCTCGAAACACCCGCCCTTCAACTAACGATCGCAAAGCAACACATTCTTCCTCTACGGCGCTCAAGGTCCCACAGCCTTCTCCAACGGCCCAACATGCGTGGAAGTCCAGGGTGACTGGATTGTCGATGCCATAGTCAAGCTCCGCGATGAGGGTATTACATACTGCGAGCCCACGCATGAAGCTGAGCAACAATGGCGGGAGAAGATCACGGAGCTAAGCGATAAGACATTGTTTCCGCAGACGAAGTCGTGGTATATGGGGGACAATGTGCCGGGTAAGGTACGAGAGCAGTTGAGTTTTGCTGGCGGATTTCCTTTGTATAAAGAGTTGACGAGGAAGGCGCTGGATAATGGGTTTGAGGGGTTCATTACTGCTTGATGATTTTTTGGTTGGAGTAGATGTAATGTAATTAGTTTCATGTAAAAATGGTCTTGTCTCGGTGTCTTTGGCATGAAGCACCTCTTTCTAGTGTGATGTGGCTGTAAGAGGTTGGAGATGAACGGTGCCGAGGAAGATTGGAATAGCATATTCATGTTCTGGAATCTGTTTGACTTAGTAGCGATAGATTTCTAAAGGTAGAGAGACCCTATGTAGACTAGGATGTGCCATTGGTTGCATTGAATACATGGGTGCTAAAAGTAGACATTCTGCCAAAAGGCATTACCGGGGTCAATGAGAATATGAACATGGGTTCCGATGCAACTAGCATCGTCCCACAACGGCAGGAGTCATTTGTCTTCTCTTATCCGGTAACTGATGACATGTCCAAAAAGTCGTTATCAAGCGTATCTTGAAATTTCGTCCGGATGTTACCTACTAGTACGCCTCGGTAATAGTACCAGGGTCGGTGTCGCGTGGGATTTACGCCGACGCGACGTCACGACCTTGGACTTTGCAGGTCACCAGCGCCGGCGCATACCTCATGGAATCCATACGCGCCCCATCCGCACTACGCCCTGTACCATGAGGACAGCGCTCCTTTGGGGACGTCAGTGTTCCCGACAAAGTTTCCCAAGACTCACATCCCGCGCATTAAATCGCCCATATGTAAACACTGCTTCTATTCGCAGCCGATTCGCAACTCCGAAATTCAAAGGCAAAACAATACTATGGTCTGGCGCAGCGACCGGGGCTGCGGGTGGCACATTACTGAGTTCTCTTTCGTTCGTAGAGGTAGCCAGTAGCAAAGCTGGCAATGGAGAGCAGACGCACGAAGAAGCAATGCTCGAGGCATCGAGGAAGGAGTTGGATGAGCAAGTGCCACATGCGCTGAGGAACTCTGCGAAATACAGGCGGGGCATATACTTTTTTTTCGAGGACTACATAATCGAGCCCATCGCCACTGGCTTCCGCTTCTTGCATTTGGTCATTATCTTTGTTCCGGTCATAGTGACTATACCTGCGCTATGGCTTGGCTCAAGGCAGCCAGATAGAGATAACGAGCGAAGTGGGACTTTATGGTGGTACGGCTTCTTAGTAGGGTCTATGGAGAGGGCAGGAGCTGCCTTTATTAAGGTATTTTGCTATGTCTCAGGCCGTTCGACACATGGTAAAGACTGACCTTTTGTAGCTAGGACAATGGGCGGCTTCGCGAACGGATGTTTTCCCGACCGAGATGTGTCTGATCATGTCAACACTCCACTCTAACGCACCGGCACATTCTTTAGAAGTAACGAAACGTACAATTGAGGAGGCCTTTGACGGGAAAAAATTCGAAGATATTTTCGAAGAGTTTGACGAGAAGCCGCTTGGCGTAGGTGCGATTGCCCAGGTTTACAAAGCGAGGTTAAAGCCGCATCTTGCGACGCTAAAGGAAAATGCAAGTGACCACGAGGAGCCCAACTTGGCGCGCAGAATCAAGAAGAATGTCGATGTAACGCTGAAGAGTACGCCATCTAGAGTACCATCAGACCATGTCGCTATCAAGGTTCTGCACCCCAAGATCGAGAAGATTGTGCGGAGAGATTTGCGAATAATGGGATTCTTTGCGGCCCTCATCAACGCCATACCTACAATGGAGTGGTTCTCATTTCCGGACGAAGTACAGCAGTTCGGCGAAATGATGAGGCTACAACTGGACCTGCGAATTGAGGCTGCGAACCTTACACTTTTCCGGAAAAATTTCAAAGACCGAACGACGGCTTGGTTTCCTTACCCCTATACGGATTACACTACGCGCAATGTACTCATCGAAGAGTTTGCCCAGGGAATCCCTCTGGAGGACTTCTTGCAGAATGGAGGTGGTGTCTTTCAGAAGGATATCGCAGATGAAGGATTGGATGCTTTCCTGAACATGGTTCTCATTGATAACTTCATCCACGCAGATTTGCATCCAGGGAACATCATGGTTCGATTCTACAAACCTGAGCAGCTCGACGTTTCGTTTTTTGCCAGGAAAGAAGACCAGAAAACTGGTCCTAAGGAATCCCCCGATGTCACCGAAGAAGTGCTGGAGCGTTTAAGACCACACAAGAAGAACCCCAAGCAATGGCAGGCGACGTTGGAGCAGATTGATAGTGAGGGCTATCGACCTCAACTCATCTTTATCGATACCGGGCTAGTGACGGAACTGAATGCAAAGAACCGCACTAACTTCCTTGATCTCTTCAAGGCTGTTGCAGAGTTCGATGGTTATAAGGCAGGCCATTTGATGGTAGAGAGATGCAGGCAACCACAGGCCGTCCTGGACCGTGAGGTGTTTGCTTTACGTATGCAACACTTGGTATTGGGAGTTAAGAGTCGTACTTTTGCCCTCGGCAACATCAAGATTGGAGACATCTTGAACGAAGTCCTATCGATGGTCCGGACGCATCACGTTCGCCTTGAAGGCGACTTTGTGAATGTTGTCCTCAGCATTCTTCTTCTAGAGGGTATTGGAAGGAGCTTGAACCCAAACCTGGATCTGTTCGCAGGGTAAGTGCTGGCGCTGGAGTTTCCGAATCGCATATTGATTAGTAATAGGGCACTTCCCATTTTACGGCAGCTGGGTGCGCAAAGCGGCTCGTCTATGATCCGTGGAGGCGACTTTTCTATGCTCAAGGTCTGGGTTGGTCTTGAGGCGCGGAGCTTCTTACAAGCTTCAATTGATACGGTATGTGTCTTGGAAACTTCATTGGAGTTGGTTGCTAATTCATATTTAGGTGGAGCGATATGTCAAATCCGATCAACTCTCGCCGAATATATAAAGCATGAGCGGTGCACATTACTACGTAGTTATTTAATCACAAGAAATCACGACTCACACATACTGTATCACCTGTCTTTTTTTAGTATTACTTTTTGCAGCTACTTAGCACTACTACAGTGTCTACATGTCCAGACTGACGAACTGCATCCATCGCCTTTAGACATGAAAGCGTATCGGAATAGCATCTGTGGCTGTGAATGGCGGGGGTCGGGTGGCTAGTGTCTCCTGATGTGACGTCATCTCCTGGGGTAGCTTCGTGTTCGCAGCTATACAACACCACCCGTTGCCAACACACCAACTCACGATATTACATTGTATATCGCAATACATTCAGGAGCCTTTCTCTACCACGGTAGTTACTTGTTTTCTTTCGAACCAATCTCCAGGCCTTACCTACCGCAATGGAAGCCGGGGCAGCTGGAGTACTTTATGCAGCTGAGAACCTCCTCGGAGGCGCTGTAGCCCTCGTCAAGGGCATGAAGCACCCAACACTGCCTCTCAAGGCCAATATTACACGCATATCATCTGTTCCGCTCCCACGATCGCACCACACAGTTTCCGTAGTCAAGGGCCGGGCTTACATCTTCGGTGGAGAAACCGAAGCCGGCACGCTTGCAGACAATGATATGCATGTTGTAATTCTTCCCTCAAGCGGAGTGCTTGACGCCGACTATACAAAATACCCTGCTCGATCTGTCAATGGTCTGGACGACGTACCGAATTCTAGAAAGGGACACACAGCAGCTGTGATCGACGATCATATCTACATATTTGGGGGTGAGGGAGAGGGTGTCACAGACGAAAAGGGAAGAGTATGGGTGTACAACACGGTATCGAATACTTGGTCCTATCTCGACCCGGCGGTAGACTCGCTATATCCCAGCCATCGATCAGGCCATGCCTCGGCGAGCTCAGACCTCCCAAGCCCAAAGACCACGACCTACGTTGAGAAGGCACCCCAAGCACCCGCAGATCCTGCAGTGAATGTGCCAGAGCCACCTGAGTCGAACTCGTACGGCACCATCTTTATTGTCGGTGGCCGCGACATGGCAAAGAGTGAACTCTTAAGCGATGCATTAGCATTCGACGTCAAGACACGAACATGGTCCAATATCCCTTCGCCATCAGGTCACCCACGAGAAGGTGCAAGCTTAGCACTGGTTGGAAGCCGCCTATATCGCTTTGGCGGGAAAGGTGTGGAAACCTTTGCCTCTGGTGCGATGGAATCTGTTGACGTTTCCCACGTCTGGACACATGCAGAACGTGGGACTACGCCAGTATCAAGCGGCTGGGGCTGGGAGGAAGTGAAGAAATCAGACCGAGAGGGCAGCACCGCTGTAGCGCCTCAGGCACGCTCATATGCAGGACTGGTAGGAGTCACCACGGGTCAAGGACGGTACTACCTGCTGGCTATTGGTGGTTTGACAGAAAACGAGGAGTATCTTGATGACATATGGGCTATGCAACTCGCCCCTGAGAAATCAACAGCCGCAGCAGCAAAGGACAGCATTCGCGCGCACATCAAGAAGGACACACATGAGTCGCAATGGGCCGAGGTGATCTACCGCTATGTCGATACAAAAGGAGAAGAGGAAAAGGAGATACCAGGAAAGCCCAAGAGAGGGCTTGGCGCACGAGGCTACTTTGGCGTCTCGAAGGGTACCGAGGTTGATGGAGCTACAGCTGTGGTGTGGGGCGGCGTTGATGCGAACGGCGAGGTCCTAGAGGATGGGTGGATGATCACTGTTGACAGGTGAGCCGCCATTCCTTGCGCGTCAAAGATATAAGTATGCAAATGAAGAACATGAACGCCCAACCGTATAGCGAATGAAATTGCAGCGTGCCAAGGAGGTAGGAGCTTATGCGCTGAACTTATGTATGCATATATGGATCATTCTCACCCCTTGGCGTTACGCTATGCAGGCAGTGGTTTCCTAGGGTTCAAGAACAGATGCACCTGACCATTGCGTGTCTTGTCACGTACACACTGCACATAGCCGATTGTGTCGCTTGACATCCTACTCGCCTGCTCTTGGATCGCCCAAACCGCGGCCAAATAATGCGATTTTACTTCGAATCCCATCTTCAACTCTTTGACTTCCAAGGCGCCAGGCGGGAATACGGCCAATAAGCTCGCACCGCTCAGACCCTTCCTACGCCCCGCCACGTTTCATACAGCCCGTCACGCCGACAAGCGAGCCGCATATCTTCGTATTAACCTCCTGGATGGTCTCGACATTGGAATTGGCCATGGGATTTGCGCCTGAAACATCAACTCCACCCAATCAGGAATGTAACACCAAGCGCCATCTATCTTCAGCTTGTTCGCTGCAGCGCAGGCCCACGTGCAGCAAGTAAGGGTTTCTGGTTAACATCCAAATGCACCCTATATTTCACAAGCCCAAGCATCGATCCACTGGCTGACAACAGTGCGTGAGTGGGAATGACGGTCAGGCTCGGCCCACTAAACCGTGGTCAGGGCGAACGACATGGCCAATGGGCATTATCCCGTTATGCGCCGACATTGTGCATCATGGCGAGCACGGTGGTTAAGTATATCTATGGCCCTGTGTGGCGCAGCCCAAGGAGCACGATCTCCGGACGAACATCTCAGTTACTCGGCTCTTAAGGGGCACAGAGACCAACAGCCCTTGCAACAATCAAACCGCAACAGAACTGCGGTTACAGAAGACTCGGAAGAACTCTCCACCATGGGTTGGGGTGACATTATCGGTTGGGGTAAGTGAAGAACATGTTCCTGAGACGACATCAGAATAGACCAACCAGGCTGACCACGTATGAACAGGTGGAGATTTGACGCTAGTGAATGGCTCGCCATTTGACTGGACAGTGGGTTACCAGCATTCATACCAGATGAATACGTGGAACTGGCCGACTGTGAGAGCAGGTACGAAACCTCATCTAGCTTACGCGTCGAGACCGCTCATCCAAGAAAACAGGAACTGCCGAAAAAGTCCATGTCGAGTTTGGGCTAAAGGGGCATACTTGGGATGATGCGGGCGAAGGCTACTACAATGTGGCTGGAACATCAAATAAGTTCACAGTCATGGCACGAAAGCCATCAGACTACGAGCTCACCATATCACTGGACAATATGCAAACGGAACAAAGTCCTAATATGACGAAAATCAAGCTAGGATTTCGAAAGGACGCGGCGGTAAACTGGATCGTATCTACCGACGAGGCTGGAAAATTTTGGACCAATACTGGATCATACGCCGACTGGATGCAACAAAGTATGGGATCGCTAGCGAACAGAACACTCAGGCACATTTGCATGCCTGGCAGCCACGATGCTGGCATGGCTACTTTCCATCCCGGCACTGTTGGTGCGCATTTTGCAAATACACAGGCGCAGTACCTCAACTTCTACGATCAACTCATGGCTGGATCGCGCTTTTTTGATCTCCGCCCTGTATTCTCCAGAGGCCAATGGGTAGCCGGTCACTACAGCGCCGTAGCTGGCGTTTGGGTCGGCGGCAACGGACAATCCCTCAAAGATATTATACAGCAGGTCAATGACTTCACCGCCAACCACAAGGAACTTGTCATCATAAATCTGAGCCATACACTGGACACGGACAGAGAATATCGAGACCTGACGCAAGCCCAATGGAACGACCTCTTCAACACCTTGAAACAAATCAACAACCGTCATATCGTCGACAACCCCGGCGGAACGGACTTCTCCAACAAGCGCTTATCCGAGTTCATCACCGACCGCGCTGCAGTTTTCATCCTGGCACAACTGCCTGGGGGCGCACAACTTGGCAATTTTGCAAACGAGGGTTTTTACAGCGGCGCCAACTTTCCTTTCTACGACGAATACAGCAATAGCAATAACCTGGAGAACATGAAGAAGGATCAGCTAGCCAAGCTCAAGCAGCAACGCAGTATTGTTGCTGATGCGCAAGCAAGAAAGGATGTCTTCCACATCTTTTCTTGGACACTAACGCAGCAGCCTGAGGATGTGATTAACTTTGACAAAGGCATCATGTGAGTTACAGGCTTGGCCTATGCTTTCCTTTCTTTTACCTTTCACGTCTTCTTTCTTACAAAAACTAATATTTATTCCAGGAACATGGCCACTGGCGCCTTTGACGACCTCATCAGTACTGCTTGGAACTCATTTACACCAGAGTCTTTCCCCAATGTATTGTATGTGGACAGTCTGGGTGTGCGTGACAAGAGCGCTGTTTTCCCCTTTGATAGAGTCAAGGGCGGCCTGAGCACAAACGTAGATATTGCGGCTTTTGCAGTTGCTGTGAACAATGCTTTTGCGGGCAAAAATCCCGTTGTTACGGGAAAATAAGGGTGTGATTTGGGGAGAAGAGAGTGGTGTGCGCATATGTGTCATATGCTACTGAAGTTGGGGTACGTGTCTGTGACGACGTTCTGATTGCTCATAGCGTGCGTGTCCTTTTGCCTTTTTCTTTTGTTTCTGCGAACTTGCATCCATATGGCAGCTCGGCGTTGTTGATAGACTAGTATGACGTATTAATCTCTTCTTACCTTTTGAGAATAAAGAAAAATATGGAGATAAATCACTCTAGAATATATGAGATTGATCAAATGGACATGGAATCGTGAGACCAGTCAAGTGCAATGTGGTAAAGAAATCTATTGCAAGTCAGATGATCTGGTGTAGTGGTGTACGAGATTACGACGCACAACGTAGGTATGATTGGAGTGAACCATAGACCGATCATATGTGTTGTCAGCGCTGTGTGGCATCAAACAAGACTAAATCCTATTTACTAGCCTCGATCAAGCCATGGCGTAGTGAATATATTCGCAGTACCAAAGAATTCCCAAGTTGTCAGAGGGCAATGATGACGCACCTCATCGAGTGCTTCCCAGACTCAACGCTGGAAGTTGATGCAGTTGACGCAGCCTTGCGCATCCGCGGCACCCTTTTCGGTCAACTTGAGTCCGTAAAAGGAAATCCGACGTGTGTCAGACGGGATCACAAGCAGGGAAAACAAAGATTGGGTGCTTAGTATAGTGGGGTGGGTAGATCAGGATCGCTCCAGGTGCCGTGTCGAACATTACTTTTGAAATGCGCATGTTCGTCAGAATGCGCAAAGTATTTGGGTCACCACACCTAACTAACAAAACGTGCCGTGAGCTGTGCTGTTGTTTCTAGTATTTAGCTTCCATTCTACTAGGGCTCAATGGTGGATTTCTAGGAAAATAAGAGGTAAGGGTGTCGCGTGTGAAGTGGCATCGCCGCTGATGGTTGTGGCTTGCCGTCCGCTAGTGCGAGCCATGACGTAGTGAACCATCGCAGCCTCGCGCGTGTTTATTGTTGTAATTATGAGCGCAAACAAATTGCACGACTCCCTTCTCCTACCTGTTACTCCACCCTAGACTTCTCATAAAATCTTTTTTCTAATTTCTGCATCAAACATGTCGACCGGTGGTGTGGTCTACAAGGACCTCCTACCTATTCCCGATACGGATCCTACTGAGTATGAAGGCAAATCGACCACGCTACGCGATGCACCTACGGAGAGCCATGCGCTAGCTCTAGAAGCTGCCAGGGTTCCCCCTACAGAGGAGAAGGGTGCAGCTCAGGTCGAACATCAGAAAGAGGTTGTGGATTTGGGATGGAACGAGCCAAAAGAACATGTCGCCAAGCCTCTCGTGGGAGGGCTCGACAATGAGCATGTATGGATGCTTGTTCGGCGTTTTAACAAGGTAAAAAGCACGCATGTTCAACGTGACACCATCTCCTGCTAACTCTTCATAGCAAATATATCAAGTCAAAGAGATACCGACAGCACCTCCTGGAGGATTAGATCTCAATGTTGCTGACGAAGAAGAGTTTACTCCGGACAAGTTTCGTGCAAACCTTGAGCGCCTCTATATGACTATTGTAAGTTCTGGAGACGAAGCATTCGCTGCATGTAGACTAACCATGTTAGATCATCGGCATAATCGGATTTGCCAAGCACATTGCTCGCATTCGATCATGGAGAGAATCACGCCGCACTACATGGTTTTGTTCCGCCTACTTTGCTGCTTGGACCTTCGACATGATCATGCCTCTACTCTCAGTCGCTCTGCTGACGCTGATCGTTCACCCACCTGCTCGCGAAGTCATGTTTCCTCCGGCCCCTATCGCCCTCGTAAGCTCCAGCGGAGGTATCCAGAAGCCAAAATCAGGAACTCTTGGAAGCATTGACAGCGTCACTGGAGCGCCCGAAAACCACAAGGGTGAAGCCGTAGAACAAGAGGCCACGAATTTCGTCTACGGCTTCGCCACTATTGCACTGTCAAGCGCGACTGGCAAACAACCTGAGGTCGAACCTAAAGAAGATAAGTCACCGGATGATAACATTTCAGATACCACTCGACTTGCCATGGGTGTTGCCCATGCCCAAGACAAAGCATCCGGTAATAAGCCCGACAAGGACCATGATAAGACCAAAGTACCTTTGGAGACTGCCATGTGGAGCAAGATGAGGCCAATCATGCATGCCCTTTCAGACATTGCAGATACCTGGGAACGCTTTGCGAAGTGAGTGTGCTGCAACAAGAAAATATTGATTACCTACTGACTTTTTTTAACAGCATGCTTGACCCAACTCCTCCGTTCCCACAAAACAAGTTCCGTCTTCGTCTTGGAGCAGTTGTCGCTCCCATCATATTCATCTCAATGTTCGTATCGTCTTATGTCTTCATGAAGGGCGTTACATTCGGTATTGGATTCGGTTTTTTCGGCGACCCAGTCATCCAACGAGGACTTGCACTTCTTGACAGGAAATTTCCCAAGTGGAAGAAACTACTCGAACTCCGCAATACGCTTCTTAAAGGCGTTCCTACGAACGCCCAACTCACAATTACCTTGCTCCGTCTTGGCGAGGCGAACAAAGCTCCCCTACCACCTCCACCACATATTACGCACCCACCAGCAGAGCAAACCGCACACGTTGGTTCAGAAGAACTTCGTGCCATGGGCGTGGACAGGGCACTCAACGCCACAAAAGAAGAGCTCGACGACGCCATCGCATACGACCCCGAAGTAGGCTACGAAGCGAGCGGCGAAGGCTCCGAAAAAGACAGCAAGCACGTCAAGAAGGGCAGCAAGATTCTCAGTTTCTTCCGCGGCACCGCCAAAGGTGCCGTCGAGACTACACGGGGCGCCGACAAACTCAAAGCTGCCGCTGGCTCCACAAACGCAAAGAACAGACTGGGTGCCCTCCCGCCTCGAAACGCCGATCTCACATCTGGCCCCGTCGAATTCAAAGCCCGATTCGACGGTAAAAAGGGACACGCATACATTGCTACCAAATCCACTATTCCTTGCATTGCCTTTTCGACTGACAACACGATTGAGAAGATTGGCAGCGTCGACAGAGAGGATCTACATCCGTTGTGGAGTGTACCCGTCAACGACATTATCGATATCAAGAAGGTGGGTGGGTTTGGATGGAAGGCCAAGATGGTGGTGGGGTGGGCTATGGAGCGCGAGTTGGCGGATGGTTTGATTATTACTGATTCCAAGTTGAATGAGTACCGGATTATGGCGTTGCCGTTGAGGGATGAGCTGTTTAACCGGCTTATTGCTATGGGTGGGCAGAAGTGGGAGAGTTGGTAGGAGGTACGGACATGGGAGGGAGAAAAATGTGGTGGTGCATTCTGGCGTTTGCATTATGGAGTTTTCATCAATTTTTTGTCTTGGGGGGGATGCGGATTGGGATCCTGGGTTTTGGGTCGGAAGTATATATCCTGGTAGTATGTATTTCGTTTTGATTACTTTGATGAAGTTTGATGGTTCAATGGTGAATTAATATCGAAATCGTAGTTCAGAATTTAGGCACTGGAAGCTTAAGTATTCTATAAATCAGGCAAGCATACTCACTCCGGCATCTCCATCACGAGTTTGGTTTTTCCTATGAGCATTCCTATCATATTGCCAAGGCCTCTCTGCAAAAAGCCAAGAACTGCGTTTCTTGATCTTTGGCAAAATCAAGATAAAATATGAAATATGTTTGAACATAAAACTGTGTAGTATCGAAAACTTGAGTACAATGAATCTAGAGCCATACCTTTCTCCTGGAAAGTAGCAATTCGATGAAGATAGTTCTCCGAGGATGCTAGTGTCGACACTTAGCGGCGATTTAGTTCGTAACTTGTGTTTTACCATTTAGAAATCTCGAAAAATTCGACCTCGTAACCTGAAGAATCTAGAAGTAGTGGACATAGTGTGCTTGGTTGTCGAGCCTCCCCCGATTCAAACACGTGATACATGGTCAGAACGTAGTGTCAAGATATGATGTCATCAGCGGAAACAGCTTATCTAAGTTTGCTTAAGTTGTCTTGAACTAAACAATGAAGCAAGATGTAGTATAAAGTGCAAGAAAGGTACCAGTAGTAAGAAGTTAGGTAGTAGTATCAAGTTTGTTTTTGTGTAGAGGAGCAGGGATGCTGCAGTGGCGCAGATCTTAGCACAAGCACCCCTGCCAATGACGCATCACTTCCCGTCAATGCGGGACAACAATCAGGGTCTCGACGTCGCCTTCGACGACATACTGAGCACCGCCGAGCCTCTAGAATCGCCGCTGAGACTGACACGTGCAAGCTGTTTCGCCATCTTTTATTCTACGCACGAAGCCTCTCCCGCTACGATCGCCATCCTCAGCCCAACCCCTCCTTTGTTCGATTAGCAAAACAACGCACACACACACACATCAACATCGACTATGGCGTCCTATCTCGAAAAGGTGCGTCGGCAGTCAAAGCAGCTGTTCCCACAGAGTAAACAGAAGCCTGGACCGCCGCCGATCGAGGACCCTCCCAAGGTTTCTGAGTCCACAACACCAAAAGTAGAAGATGCCGCTGTTCCCAAGATTGAAGAGCCCGCGCCGGCAGAGCCCAGCGGGCCCATTCCCGAGCCGCCAGCTCCGACAGTTGCAGAAGCAAGCGAAGAAGTAGGCAGCGACCCTGTACTGGATCCTGAAGATCAGAAGTTCCTCGAGCGACTCGCTGCCATTGCTTCAGAGCCCGAGGGTACACCTCCGCCTCTGCCTGAGCGTGCAACCGCAGCCGGTGATGCGGGTGAGAAGAAGGTTGGCAAGAATGCACAGGAGGCACTCATTGACGGTGCAGACAAGATTGCACTTCCTTTGAGCCCACCTGCGACAACTGCTGAGACTAGCGACAAGGGCAAAGGCAAGGCTACAGAAGGTGGCCTAGGTCGGAAAAAGAGTGTCTTGTCATACTTCCAACTGCCCAAGTTCGGCAAGAAGGACGGAGAAAAGGCAAAAGAGAAGTCGTCCAAAGACCAAAAAGTAGTAGTCACGGACAAGGATAGGGCCCAATTCGCAGACGATCTCCAGGCCGCCGCCGAGGCAGCCAAAACCGCTGAGCTCACCGACGCGCAGAAGCAGGATAAGGAACTCACCGATATCCTGGACCAGCTGAACCTCTCAGCAGTCAACAATCGCGTCTTCAGCTTTAGCAAAGAGTCAGAAGAACTCCTCAACAAATTCACCCAAGTCCTCAAAGACCTCGTCAATGGCGTCCCAACAGCCTACAACGATCTCGAAACGCTCTTCACAGACTACGACAACCAGCTCAAGAAGATGTATGCTAGTCTCCCGCCCTTCTTGCAGAATCTAGTCAAGAGTCTGCCAGCCAAGCTCACAGCTACCCTGGGCCCGGAGTTGATGGCTGCGCAATCCGAGAAGCCCGGATTTGACGCCCAAGCAGCTGGCGAAGGGAGCAAGTTTAAGAGTGCGAAAAACATGCTGCCTCAAGTCCCGAGCTTGAAGTCTTTGCTTTCTGCCCAGGGCGCCGTTGCGACGGCGCTACGGAGCATTGTCAATTTTTTGAAGTTTAGGTTCCCGGCGCTGGCTACGGGGACGAATGTTATTATGAGTTTGGCGGTTTTCGGTATGTTTTCATTCCCTCTTCCTTTTTTTCTCTCGAGATACAATGATTTGGAGAGTTTTGTTGTGCTAACTTATGTCTGTATAGTTCTCCTCTTCGTCTTCTGGTACTGCCACAAGCGCGGCCGCGAAACGCGTCTTGAGAAGGAACGTCTTGCAGCCGAAGAAGGCCAAGTAGGTAATATTAGCGGCACGCCCTCTGTGAACGGGGATGTCGACTCGATTTTCGGGTCTCAGATCAAGACGAGGGAAGGTGGGGGTGCGGCGGCGCAGGAACCACTTATTAGCGATGGTAGGGAGAAGGAGGGACAGTCCGCGGCGGGTGTGAGTGATTTGCCGAGTGTATCGCATCTTCCCGATCCAAAGGGTGGAGAGGCTCCTGCGGCGCCGCCGGCTGGGGGGAAGTAAAGTGTGGTGAAGTGTGGATGAGGATTTTCTTTTTGGGTTAAATTGATGATTTTCCCCTGTGCGTATACCCTGGTTTAAGTAATACTCTAATAAACAACCCAGACATCACCAAGTCTTGAAAACGTGTATGTTGTTTGGTTTCATCTCATCCGCCCATTATCTCCACACACGCACACACACACCCAATCTCAAGGCTTCCTCGCATGTATAACCACCACCTCAAAATACGCATGCACCCTCCTCTCCTTAACCCCATTCCGAAACTTGGCAAAGAAAACCTGCGCCTCCTCCACACTCCACCCCATAACCTTTGTCAGCAAAAACAAGCCCCAGCCTTCGGCTCCCTGGGTAATATGCAGCAGATTCCAGCGTCCCAACTCCTTCATATGCGGGTCCGACGGCCAGCTATTAACGGGGACCTTGTACACGTATTCCCTGACGTCCTGGAACCCCGCATCCCTTATGTACGTGGATAAATTCAAGACTTCGTAGAAACTCTTGCCAAAGCGTTTGCTCGCTTCGTGGAAAATGTCGCTCCACTGCGATAGCACGTGGGTTGGCGTCAAGGTGCCGTCGTCCGACTTGAACTGGATTGACATTTCGAGCTGGTGGAGGTAGCCGCCCGAGGTGAGGTTTTGGTAGACCTGGGTGTAGAGGGAGGGCCAGGAGTGGATGGAGCCGTACAAGGAGCGGATGTTTATGAAGTCGAAGGGGGTGGAGTAGGTCCAGGGGAGGGTGACGTCGTCGATTTCGAATTTGCAGTTTGGAGGAGTGAAGGAGGGTTGGATGGGGGAGAGGTCGACGCCGAGGATTTCGGCGCTGGGGTGTTCTGGGGTGCATGTAGTGTGAGCTGGGTTTGATTGATTGTTTTGTCGAGGGGCGGTGGCGTCATGTATTGTAAGAAAGAAGAAGAAGAAGAAGAGAAGACACACCATCTGCCATGTCCATGCACCAGATTCCTGTTCCGCAGCCTAGATCGAGGATACGCTTGGGGTCTTTGATGGGTGCCAAGTGAAGTTTCTGGCCGAGTAGGATCAAAAACATGTGGTGGGCAATGTCAAGTTGGTCGTTTTGGACTTCGTCGTTGGGGCCCCAGTAGTCGTTTTCGCCTTCGCGGTATTTGTGGTAGCGGCGGCCATTTTCGAAGCGACCTCTGTAGATGGAAGAGGCGATTGATGTAGTGTCGCTGGCGGTATCGTCGTCGCCTAGGGCTGAATCTGTGTCGTCCTCGGTGTTGTCCTGGTTGTGTTGGAATGTTGCTACTGCACAAGGTCTTGGTGGTATGGACAAAGAATTCAGTCACTTACAACTGACACATGAGGATTAATGAGTTGGGCGTATGACGATGGGCCTGTTGTGGTTTCCGAAGGCAACTGGTCCTGTGGTGTTGGCGTAGCACAGGCGTCTACTGGCTTCGAAGAGGAAGACGCTGATGGAGATAGTGAGACGGCTACTGACTCGTCCACGACTTCACTCTCTTTTCCCTTGCCAGAACCCGACATTATACAGTGTGCCTCTGTTTGGAACGTTTGGAAAGAGCGTGTGCAATAGGGGCACTAGGTTTATATGCTTCGAGATCAAGCCCTCCAGGAGCGGCTGAGCCTTGTTTTACCACGTGTGGGCTGCAGCTAGTACTGTGCCTCAATCGTACATACAGCAACGGGCCGAGGTGGGTTAGTTAGACCCGTACTTGCGATAAGCGAGTCTGTCAGTGGCGCTTTAACTTTGGCTTTGTTGGTTCCTTGATGGATGGCGTCTGGTGGCAAGATAAGTGCAGAGGAAGCTGAGTACCGAAAGGAGAAAGGAGACTAGAAATACTCAAGAGAGTGGCTTAGATGGGTATGCAGAGGTGGTGTAACAATGGTGGGCAGGGAGCCGCTGGAGGCTAGAACATGAAGGCTGTGACATTGTGATGGCGTCGGCCATGGAGACCGGGAAAAGAAAAATGTGGCTTGTGGGATTCTGGACGCGAACATGCTGTGGACTGGACCGTTCTAGGTGAAGGTGCTCGGGGATTTGTCCATGGAATCTGCATCAAACATTCGAATGGAGTCATCTGCGCAAGGCGATTCGTTGGAACCGAGTGGCCAAGGCGGGGGAGCCTCTGGGTGATGGCAATGGCCCATGTGGCTGCGGAATCAAACGAAGACGAATGTGGACGTCTTTACGTGCATCTACGTCTGCCGTCTCCAAACGGCTGTCGCCTTTGCACATCTTTACAGGGCGAGGGCATGTGTAGGGATTACATGTATACACATGTACATAGTACATACTCTCACTCTGTTTGCGACTTGGATAGTGGCAGCACCATGCTAATGCTGGCCACTCGATGTGCGCCATCCGAATCCATTAATCTATCTTGGCTAGCCCCCCGGTACTCTCCGTCAGGAACCAGATATGGCCTTTTTAACTTTATTTGTTGCCGCCGTGCCTCCATGGAAACCTACCAGCTCGCCGGCGGCCCGTAGCTTGCCTCTTTGGCGTCTTCTCCTGCTGTTGCTGTCTACCTATTCGCGGCCCGCCACAACACCAACCCACACCCGCAAACTGCTGCAGAGTGAGAGCAGAGAGCATCGGTACTCCACTGTTGTGATCCTGTCCATACTCCACTCTCGTGCTCGTGCATTGCGCTGCACCCTTCGTCACACGGGTGGGTGCCCCACCGACAACGCCAACTCGTCACTTCCATCAACTATCAGCAAAAGTAACGAGCATATCCTTGCCTGCCATCTCCACTCCTAGCTAGCCATGGACAACATTGCCGAGGGTTCTTTGCTTGATCATGTCTCACGGCGCCTGCAGGCCTTCGTATTCGTCCTGGGCCTTCTTTTCGTCATTAGCCGCATCCGCCAGTTCTTGCGTTTGAGACATTTCGCCGGTCCCAGCACAACGGGTTTCTCTTGGCTGTGGCATTCTAGAGCTGTAATCGGCGGCGAATCCCCTAGGTACTACGGCCAAGTGTGTGAGAAATTCGGTATGCATTCAATCGCATCGCATCTGCCACCTGACAAATCCTAACTCTGCTCGATGTAGGGCCGATTGCGAGAATCGCACCTAACCACCTCATCACTTCTGACCCAGACTTCTGGATACGCATCAACGCCGTGCGCTCCCCGTACAGGCGATCTCCGTGGTATTATCATGCCGCCCGGTTCGAGACGGGCAAAGACAACGTCTTTACCGAATGCGACAATGACCGGCATGACGCGCGTCGAAAAAAGATGCTCGCAGGCGTAAGCAAATTATTGACTTGTTGGTGGCTTCATCGCTAACGCATCGCAGTACTCTGGCAAGGAGAACCCGACACTAGAGCCTTCAATTGACCAGCACGTCAAGGAACTCATAGACTTGGTGCGCAAATATGCATCTCCTGCAGCTTCGACAGGTCCATCTATCCACATGGATTTGGCAGAGAAGATTCCCTTCTTCACCTTAGATGTCATCAGCCATGTCAGTTTGGGAGAACCATTTGGAGACCTGAAAGCCGATGGCGATGTCAAAAACTACATCAAGTCAAGTGAACAAGGCCTGAAGATTGGTAACACAGCATTTGCCATGGGAATAGCCTGGCTGAAGGACAAGCCTGTTATCGGGCCTACCATTAGTCCTTCTGAGAAGGATACCACTGGTTTTGGCCACATGATGGCCCAGGCACGCAAGATTATTGTTTCCAGGAGCTTAAGATCAACCGAGGAAAAGTCCGACATGTTCGCGTCTTTTGTCCGCCATGGCCTGGCAGGAGATGATCTCTGTAAGTGGTGCTACTGGTCTAGGCGTGGGTGGATAGTGGGCTGACCGTTCTAGTCCAAGAGGTGTTTGAACAGATCCTTGCTGGCTCTGACACAACCGCCGCGGCTATCCGAATCATTTTGCTTTATCTTATGAAACATCCTAGAGTATATGCAAAGCTGCAGGCCGAGATTGACGCAGCAGTCGAGAGCGGCAAAGCCCCAGCTTCTCCAGGTATCATTTCAGATGCACAAGCGCGCCAACTGCCGTACCTAGGTGCTGTGGTCCGAGAGGGGATGCGGATGCAACCTCCTGTTGCTAACCTCTTTTCAAAAATCGCCCCGGATGAAGGGGATGTCGCTGTTATCGAAGGAAAAGAATACTTTATCCCCGGTGGCACTTTGATCGGATACTCAGCCTTGGCAATGCACCGCAACAACCGAGCGCTTTATGGGGAAGATTGCGCCATATTCCGGCCTGAACGATGGCTCATTGATTCCGCAGATGAGGCAGCAAAGGAGCGTCTGGCCAAGATGATAAAGACTAACGATATGATTTTTGGCTATGGTCGGTGGGTTTGCTTGGGGCGTAATGTTGCGTTGATTGAGATACACAAGGTTGTGTTTGAGCTGTTGAGGAACTTTGATCTGGCCTTGACGTATCCACTGCAGCCGTGGAAGACGTTCAATTCGCTTGGACTGTGGGATATCAAGGACATGTGGGTGGATGTAGTGTTGCGAGAGTGAGGAGGCGGTTCCTTTCAGCCTTGTCTTGTAAAAGCTGTCGTAATAGTTGACCAATGGGCTTGCTGCACCAACGACCATGTACCAGAAGGGGAAATGCTGTATACCTGGAGGCACGGTTCTAATATGACCCAATGCACGCATGGTAAGCAATTTACATCGAGCGTGCAATGTACGTAGAGCATGATGAACCGCCCCCGATGCCTGTGGCCGCGGGCGGACCTCGAGCGCAGCAGAACAGAGGGCCATAGTAGTCGACGCAGCATGACGGCCATCTTCGGCCAGCGTCACACCTGGGACGAATCCCCCGCGTACAACCACGCCATCGGCCCTGCCACCCCACCGCTGCCCTACCATGGCTTTGCGCCCTCGCGCCATCATGTCGCTGCCCACCTCGTCAATATGGCCGGGTACTACGACGACGAGGCCCCCGTGAATGCGCAACCCTTGGACATGAGCGCCGACGGCCACCCGCGCCGAGGAGGCTGCTACGCGCCTAATGACGACACGCCCAACAAGCGACAGAAGCGCCATCCTTCTTCCCCGCGTCCCCATGATGCTTGTACGATTGCTAGCCCGGCACCGGAAGCGCCATACGCGGGCCTGCCGCAGACTTCAGCGCTGCTCGCCGCCCATAATGACGCGTCCAGCCAACAGCATTTCGATATGCTGCCTCCTCGGGACTCGGTACACGCCTCGTGGCAGGCTCTCCACGAATACGCCCAGTCGCATGCCTCCCAGCATGGCTATGCCCTCAGTATCAATACGACGGCCAAGAATCGTTCTCGTATCAAGCTCGCCTGTGTCTGCTATGGCCAGCCCAAGAACACACACAAGTTGACTGCCGAGACACGGGTCAGAAAAAATAGAGTCAGCTACAAGACGGGCTGTAAGATGTGGATCGAGGGCAAGAAGCTGGAGGGTGGGACGTGGCTGCTGCGTGTTGGCGAGGCGCAACATAATCATCCTGGTCGAGACAGCGCGGGGTGGGCGGTACAACGGAAGAGGACCTGGGGTCTTGTCGGAGGGCGCATCGGCGTTGGAGGTGTAACAGCAAAAGAGGAACTTGCCAAACGGCGGCTCCCTGGCACAAAGGATACTCTGGAGGATGTGGACGTAGAAGCCGAGGGAGGAGACGACTATCCACAGCCCCCATCACCAACCCAAAAGCCCGCCACACACAGTCTCGAGCGCGGGGGTCTAGTCTGGAAAATCGTCGAACAAGAGATGCTCCGCAAGGGTAAGCCAAACCAAGGCCGTGACCGAGGCGTAGGAAGAACCGTCGACGTCCTCCAGCGACGTCTCCCGGGAATCCACATTCTCAAGCGCGACGTCTACAACATCCGCGCGCAAATCAAGCGCGCGAGAAAAGCAGCAGGCCAACAACTCGGCGACGGGTGTGACAGTTCAAACGACGAGGCTCCGGATCCTATTCCTACTACTGCAACTCTCCCAGACGACATGGATCCACCCGAGCAATCCCTCCCACAGCCACAGCCACAATCACACAGCCAACCACCCCCCTCCTTTTCCCCTCCCCCTCTTCATCCTCCTTGCACTAAACCCCCGTCCCCCACAAGAAAAGATTCAAGAATCGACCCCTCCCTCGTCTCCACTCCACCTCCACCTCCCCTTCCTCCTCCTTTACTATTACCCCCCTTACCCCCTCCCTCGCCCTCCCCCGACCCCCCGGACCCAGCAACCCTGCAAGTCATGCGCCTCCGCCGTGAGAATGCTGAGCTACGACGGCTTCTTGCGGAGAAGACAAAGGAGGTCAAGGAAAGGACGATTGAGATGGCGGGTTTGAAGAGTCAGGTGGAGTTGTTGAGTAATCTTATGTTGACGAGTGGGAGGGGGTTGATGGGAGGTTGAAGTTTAGCGTTTTGCATTTCTAAGGATACCTTTTTGAGTAAAAGAGGGAAAAAATGTGTGTTACCAGGAAAACGACACTTTCGTACCTACCAAACTGTATCGATCGCTACTCTGTATACAGTTTTTTGACTCGCTGCTCCCGGAAGCCAGGCATTGTGAACTTGAGAATGTTTACAAGGCTCCAACGTATGGCTCAGTACATCGTAGAACTACTGAAGAGTTCCTCCAGCATGTTGGAGATGTCAGCAAAGGAACAGTGTTGACAGCTCCTATCCTCATTGGTGTTCGATCCGGACGTGCAACTGCCATACAAACCTGTCTTCAGACAGGTACTAACGTCGACCTCTCCGTGTGCTCTAACATCCGGGCGACTGACAAGACACACATCACACCTCTCGAAACTGCTGTCCATCGACATGACACCTGCGTTCCAAGAGCCCTTGTTGAAGGTGCCGCGACACTCTCGCACATCTCACAGTGGCCGACACATGCGTACAGTTACCACTTACTGTATGAGGCTGCATCAGAACTTACCAATGTCGTACTTCCTGACCTGAAGCGATTCACACGCTCTAACAAAGAAGGATCTGGAGGCGTTGGAACATTGGGAATCGCTAGACTGTGGTATAATACCCTTGAAGATACAATACTATGTTATTGAGGATTCTGAATAAGAGCTCCAGTGACTATCTTTAGGTCGGTGTTTTGTGGTAAAAACATATTGAGAATACGGACAGAGCCAAAAAGGAAAAAGGGTGATTGACGGACATATTGTTAGATAAGCTGTTACAACATTTGCCATGCGGAAGATGACCATGTTTCACGTATATCATTCAAACTGAATTCAAATTACCATCAACAAAGGGTCGCCACATCTTTGCGGTGGCGCTTTTGTGGCTACTTGTTTTCCGTCATACCTCTTGTTCATTTGCGTCATTGCCGCCTGCCATGGCCTTATTTAAATGCTAGATTTTGCCATCTGCACAAGAGCAACCGAGCCAGCATTGAGGGATCAGCACTCATATATTCCACCAGCTCGACCACTTGTCTTGTAGTGTGAATGGAGTTTTTGCAATCACATGTGGAAAGATCCGCATATCATGTGGTCGGTCCTTAGAGCGCGGAGGAACTGATCATGCGTGAGAAGTTCATCTGTCCCTCCGGAGCCCAAGCTCGCCTTCGTGAAAATGCACGCTACACCACAATTAGATTGAGGCTGTGCACACCTGGATGGCAGAGACATCTTCATCACAAATGTTCGTTATATTCCCCGGAAACTAGACAATCCATTTCCTCCACCAAGACAGGTTCTGTTCCGCCGAGTTCAATATCTGCATCTTGTCGTGATCAACATCAGCAATCTCCGAGAGATCAACGTCTTGCAGGGCGAAAATTCCAGACCTCGCGTAACAGAATCCTGCAACCCACAAGAAAACAAAGATGGCAATATCAATGTAATACGTGAGGAATGTGCCCACGCTCCATCGATCTGGAAAAAAGACGCTGTAGCCTGAGAACAAGATAACGAGGACGAGCGCGCCTCCAGTGACCCAAGCGAGATATGGCTGCATGGGGCTCTTGTACACAAGACCTGAACACATCAATATCATTTCAGCAAAGGGAACGACGGTCCACCTACGGTCTCGGCTGATACCTTGAGCCTTCAAGGCGTAGTAGAACCTCAGGTAAGTACCTTCGATGACAAGCCACCCAATAAGTCCAGCAATCGTTGTGATGTTAACGAACCATCCGAACGCTAACGAAGAGTTGCTTCCCAGACTGAGATACACAAGAGGCAAAAAGATGAGCGAAGCTCCAATCGCCAAGTATGGTGTTCCGAACCTGTTGGTTCGAAGCAGAACTTTAGGAGCTTGTCCGTCCTCTGCTAGCCCGTACAGGGTACGTGATGCAAGGAAAATGCATGCAGAGCCACAGCTGAAGGCTGATGTGCATACTATGGCGTTGATGATCGAGGGAAGCACGCTGATACCAGCGCGCTGAAATGCAATGACGAAGGGACTCTGCTGGGCGTCGCCAGTAGCGATGCCGAGATTCGGGTCGTTGAATGGTACAAGCATCCCAACGATGAGGATGCTGATAACGTAGAATATGAGCACCCGCCAGAAGGTCATTCGTATTGCGTTCGGGATGGTGACCCTTGGGTTCTTTGTCTCAGCGCCAGCTATGGCGACCACCTGGATGTTGGCGTAGCTATAGGCAGCTGAGATCAAGGAGCTCCAGAACCCAAGAAACTTGCCAGCATCACCAGGGACGATATATTCATTGAAAGGTCCGGGGTTTTTCCAGTATCGAAAGCCGATTCGGTCTCCACTAGGAGACCCTCCCAGATCCACTACAAGACCGGCGATGATGAGACCTATGATAAGCAAGATTTTGAGCACTGCGAAAAAGACCTCGCTCTGGATTTTATGAGACAGCATGCCAAAAAAACAGTGTATATCATGACTCACCTCGCCATAAACCTTCACACCACAGAAATTGATAATCACGATGATGGCGATGAAAACCGAGTACCAGATGGCAGGGTTGATACTGTTGTCCCAGAAGTTGATCAAGGTCGCAGCGGCAGCAAGCTCAGCTGGCGCAGTAATCGCCATGGTGTACCAGAAGTTCCATCCGGTGGCAATGCCGAGTGCTGGCTGCACGAATCTGGTGGCATGGCGAACGAAGCCTCCAGTCACGGGCGTGAAAGCCGACATCTCTCCTGCAGAGAGGGCAACGCCGCAAGCGATCAAACCCATACACATGTATCCTAAGAGAGCGCCAACTGGTCCTGCGGTAGCGATTGCCTGGCCAGATGCCAGGAACAATCCGGTGCCCTACGATTTGTTTGCATGAGTATAGGGGCAGGTGAGATGGATTTGGAGAAAAGTTGACTCACGATCATGCCAGCTATCGCGATCATGTTGATATGGCGACGCCCAAGGTCGCGTTTGACTTCATAGGTCGTACCCATGACTCCATTCTCAATGTCTGAACTCGACGCAGAGGTTTGGGCGAGTTGCATAGCAACTTCCTTTGGGAAATCCATGATGTTCATCACTGCATGGAAACGTGCGATTGACAATTGTGCATAGCAAGCTCAGCGCGCAATAGCAAGTATTATTAGGTCTCCGCGCTTAGTCATATTTTCTTGATGTAGCCAGGGCCGGCCTTCAATTCGAGTAATGATGTTAGCAAAAGTACATTGCTTATCTCTCTTGTCAGCTTGGCATTCTATGCTTGATTCCATGACTCCTGGTCACTGATAGCGGGATCTTACATTTGATAGGGGCAGGACGCTCGAAAGTGGCGATAAGCTGGGGCTCTTGAGATGCCGGTGGTACCTGCCTTGCTAGAATGCCGGTGGCCCCACCTTACTACTCCAAGTGGGACAATAGAAATCGAGAGAGCACAACATGAGTATAGTATTCATTGCAAAATATCACCAGCTTCTCAAAGCCAACGAAGATGTCATCGGTCAAGGGCGACTCATTCCAATTGTACGACTTGCGGGTCGAGATGGTATGTCCAGCAGGCGAGCGCATTTTGTGCGGAGCCAAGGAAGGAGACTACTTTACTGTTCAAGGCGAGATGCTACATCTTCCTGATGGCCAAGGCATAAGCTTCTACAGCTTAGGTGAGTTGTATATGCAGTTGCTGCATACTTCCAGGACTAACGAGCTTGTAATTTAGCGGCAGTACTGCCTCTGCTAGCAGCCAAGCAGCGATCAACCCACGCACATGACTGGATGTCCACAGATGCATTGATTGCATGTCCGGATCCGAATTGCAAATCCCAGCTTAAGATCACGAGGACTGGGTTGCGGACTTTCAGTCATGCGGATACCACAGTAGTTGGTCTGGAAGGAAACTCTTGAGGTTTGAAATACCAAGGAGGATTCCGAATGGATATACCTATAATGTAACAGTTTTCCCTGCTTTTTTCAGCACATCATCTTATGCGGGGGAAGTCTCAGGATTGGCGGGGTTGGAGGCATGGCCGTAAGCGCTTCCAGCGCGCGCCCTGGGGATGTCGTAGGCAGTTGTCACACTAAACACGATCATGGTGTCAATATATCCGACATATGACGCATGGCAGCGTCGCTAGAGGCTTCAAAGAGCCTTTCAGACGATCCCGATCATTGTCACCAGTATGATTATGCCCCCAATCATCATCCTCTCAATCCTTATACCAGGAGTCCGTTGTGGCTGCTGCAACAGCCACGCTGCCCTCAAAAGCGCGGTGATGTCTGCATCTCGCTGCAGATCCAAGACATGCGGTTGGGGTGTTTGTAGTATCTCGGTAGTCTAAGTCGTGGTAACTAGGACGGCGATAGGGGCGACGACCGACGCTGGGGGAACAGCAGAGTAAGGCGACGCGTATGTTTGGAGGTGACGTCAGCCGTGGCAGGAGAGGTGGGAGCTCGTGAGCGTATGCCAATTGCGCATATTTCGAGACATCAATCAAAGCGTCCGTGAAGGAAATGATTCCGTCGACATGAGCATCAGAAAGTGGTTGCGCTGTGGGGCGCAGGCAGTGATCGCACAAAGCTGGCACAAGAATAGGGAGTGAGCGCACGGGCGGATCTAATACGGGCTGGGAAGACGCTGCTCCCATGTTCAACACCAAAACACATTGCTCTCATATTTTTGACAGCTACTCTAAGAACTTCACAGAAGAACTTGTTCAGACAGACTAGTCAATAACTCTTGCTGACTAGCCCATTACCGATATTCACTACCGCAATCCCCCATGACACTGAACACCTCTTCCCTTCTGCTTTTTTCAAGGATTTCTTCTATGCGCTTCTGGTCTTCTGCATCGAGTCTCCATCCATACGTCTTCAAATTCTCTTCTGTATGCTCACTAATACCCATCCGCGCGCCAATGATAACCGCACCCACGTACGGGAAGTCGAGAACCCATCTTGTAGCAACGTTCGAGATGGAGACATTATACTTGGTCGCTATAGCCTTCAGCGTCTGCAGCAAGGCCT